CAGTTGAACAGAGAAGAGACAGACTTTGAAAGAGAAAAGTGGTCATTCAATTTCACTGTGGTCCAAAAGAAAAAGATGCATTGGCTTTTTCTTTCTCCTTGTCTTATCTCATATGAAGTTGCATTGTCTAGCTTCTCCACATGTTAAATGCGCATCTTATGAAAAGGATTGTTGCAATCACAGGTCCTGAGCATAGTGCTTGAACTCGTGCGCTGCAGGTTTTCAGCCGAATGGTGAAGCTCCAATCTCAAGTACGGACAAGGGGGTGACCCCCGGACTCGATGGAGGGGACTGGTCCCCTCCCCGTCGTCTCCGAGTCGACGAAATCCTTCCCATCATCAACGACTTTAGGCTTGCTGCCCGTAATGCGATCGAAGCAGGTGAGAGGTTCTTATCCTATATTCACTGACCCGCGATAACCAGAATACTAAGGTTGTTGATACGAAGTGTTACTGTGCTTATATATACCGAGCGGTGACAGGATTTGATGGTGTGGAAATCCACGGAGCGAATGGCTACTTGATAGACCAGTTCATGAAAGACCAAGTGAACGATAGGACCGACGAGTACGGGGGGAGCCTGGAGAAGCGGTGTCGCTTCGCATTAGAAGTGGCAGAAGCAGTGGTGAATGAGATCGGAGCTGACAGAGTTGGGATGAGGCTATCGCCGTTTGCCGATTTCATGGAGACAGGGGATTCGAACCCGGATGCGCTGGGGCTCTACATGGCCGATGCACTCGACAAATGTGGCTTAGTTTACCTGCACGTGATTGAGCCGAGGATGGTCCCAACAGGGGTCAACCTAGAGACCCCACACAGCCTTCTCCCCATGAGGAAGGCCTTCAAGGGCACGTTCATCGCAGCAGGAGGGTACAGAAGAGACGACGGGAATAAGGCGATCGAGGAAGGCTACGCGGACCTGATAGCATATGGCCGCCTGTTCCTAGCAAACCCGGATTTGCCGAGGCGGTTCGAGCTGAATGCGCCGCTCAACAAGTACGACAGAAACACCTTCTACATCCCGGATCCGGTGGTCGGGTACACCGATTACCCATTCCTTGAGGTCCCAGCATGAAATCCAATATCCATCCACCGATGCTGCTCTGTATTTGCAGTGGATGAACTTGGCTGATGCACTGCACTACACAGCACACACCCCCCAAAGCTCCCTCCGTTCCGTTATTGTTTGGTATGATCCATCAATCTAATAAAATCAAGAAGAGGGAGTGTTTTCTTTGCCAGATTAATAAAAGTACTCAGCAGATTTCATCTGAAACAGAGAGTTAGTGAACAGGGAGAACCAATCGGTTGTTCATGTCTTTGTTTGGTAAGCGGGGATCTTGACGACACGCTACTAATTGCAGAAATTTTCAACATTAGGAACCAATCCGCATCCACCAGGAACCGGATGTCGTCGGAGTAAAATATTAAACTATGTGTCGTTTTGACGGAGCAGGTGAGCTGGGGAGGGAAAAGTACGGTCGACTGTCTTAAAAGCAAACAAACATAAGCAGCACCCAAGTGGGTACACCAAGATACGTAAAGCATAAGTAAGAAAACGGGTGGCTAAAACATTTTAAAAAATGAAAATGAAAATTAATGCATTAAAGGTTCCAAAATCGTAATTTTCGGCTTGGTTCATTGATTATGTAAACAAAAGGAAGGTGGTCAAAACAGAGAATTAATGAGCTGTTTGCATTCAAATTTGAAAGTATTAACTAGAATTCGAGATAAGTAACTTCTTCCTTCGGATCGATACGCAGAATTTCATGAAAATAAAATGATACTTATTCTTTCATTTAAGGGCTAAAACCACAAAAGATCTTGATACTTCCGTACTACATTTATCTTAAAATAATTTTTATGTCATCAAAAATCTCAAACAAGTATACCCGTACCACATAAACCCCAAAATAATTTTCATGTCACAGAAAAATTAGTGATTTTAGCACTTTTTCGGAACTCGAGGAAGATATTTGGGCAAAATTAGCAGACATCCCAATATAAGATTATGGTGATTTTTAGATTTTTTGAGACCCAAAAATTAGACTGGGGTAATCGTGGCACCGACGTATCGGTTCGAGAATTTAGGTGATGCAAAAATGAGATTAGAATCAACGTGGCATGGATATAATATTTTTGAGATTTTCGTGACGCAGGCAAACGTCGGGAACAATTTTGAGATATTTTCTGGTATCAGGCTCTGCCATTTATTGAAATGAACAAGATGAGAAATGGGCCAAGTGCCGGTCGTGTCTAGTCTTTGAGGTTTGCCAGTTCCATTCCGGCTGGCAACCAAAACCCGAGCCCCTCTCTTTTCTTTCAAATTTTCCGTTGTTATTATTATTAAATTTCGCAAGAAATGGAAAAAAGAAAAAAAAGAATTGGGAGGAATAAAATAATAGCAACCACAATAGATTAGATTACAGAGAGAGAGAGAGAGAGAGAGAGAGAGAGGAGTTGTTTGATTATTATTATTATCAAGCGAAGAAAAGAGAGCTCGGCTGCGGTGTTTTCAAATCAAAGTCTCCTCCTCTTCCTTCTTCTTCTTCGGCGTCTCGTTCGTTCCCAGTCGAGTCGAGTTCGCTGCTTCCCGCCGGCGAAGGTTCCATTCGTCCTCTTCCCCATCCGCTTCCACTGCCCTTCTCTCTCTCTCTCTCCTGAATGGCGAGGAGAGCCGAGGAAGAGTACGACTACCTGTTCAAGGTGGTGCTGATCGGCGATTCCGGCGTCGGCAAATCCAACCTCCTCTCCCGATTCACCCGCAACGAGTTCTGCTTGGAGTCCAAATCCACCATCGGCGTCGAATTCGCCACCCGCACCCTCCAAGTATGTTGTGTCCTTTAGATCTCCCCTCCCCCCTTCTTTTCTCTCTCCTTTGGCACCCCCTCCTCGACTTCGTCCCTTCCCTCTTCGCTCCCCTGCTCGATCGCTACGCCCACCTCCTGTTTCGGATTAGAGATGCACGGTCACTTGGTTCTTGAACTCGATCTCCCCTTTCTAACATCTCTTTTTTCTTTTTTCTTCCTTTTATAGTGATTCGCTGTCTGTTTATGCCTCCCTTGCTGCTTCTGAGTTGTGCCATCGTCGATGTTTCTCTTCCTTACACTTTCTCTTTACTTAGTTTCCTTTGAATCAGTCTGTGTTCACCAATCGTTGCTTTCTTTTATTGTTGTATGATGGGAAATTCACGGAATTGCTGTATGTGAAAATGGGTATGCTGCTAGTAAGAAACATTCAACCTGATTTGCAACGAAAGTCGGGCATTACTGCATTGGATAGCTTCTTAGATTTTTTTTCTTTCTTTGCCACCTGGGGTTTAATCACAATCGAGCGTTGTTGTTCCATTAGTATCGAATGTAGTCGCAAACGGCACCACCGGATTCGCATGCAACAAGAACCATTGGCAAGGTGATACTTGAAATCTGTCCCGTAATACAAGCCAGACCAGTGTAAATGTGATCCGAGTACATATCTGGAAATTTTACTCGTTCGTATTATTGTCAATAGATCGTGGCTGCACACTCTGTAGATTCAAGCCTTCGGGGTTTCAGAGTATTTTACTAAAGATGAATCCGCAATGATCTGTCGTCGTTCTTCCTCAGTCTCAGACTGGTGGTGCTTGAGAGTTAAAATATCTTCTTCCCCTTTTAACAGGAAGATGATCACTACGTTTCAACTTCTTTTCCAAGTCCATTTTGGTTAAGATTAGGTTGTTTCTTCTCTTCTTCCACGAAGCACTGCGTCTTACTCGACATGTAGTTATCCCAAAGTTCCTCCATGGGGAAGTAATCACCAGCGCCTGATTTTTGCCCTTTGATTGATCAGGTTGAGGGAAGGACTGTGAAAGCACAGATATGGGACACCGCTGGACAGGAGCGATACAGAGCGATCACCAGCGCCTACTACAGGGGTGCCCTCGGGGCTCTTCTAGTGTACGATGTGACGAAGCCAACTACTTTTGACAATGTGAGTCGATGGCTGAAGGAGCTGAGGGACCATGCCGATTCCAACATTGTCATCATGCTTATTGGGAACAAGACTGACTTGAAGCACCTTAGAGCAGTGGCTACCGAAGATGCTCAGGGTTATGCCGAGAAAGAGGGTCTCTCGTTCATTGAGACTTCTGCGCTGGAAGCGACGAATGTGGAGAAGGCTTTCCAGACTATTCTCTCAGAGATATACAGGATAATTAGTAAGAAGCCTCTGTCCTCAGAAGAGGCTGCACCAGCCAACATCAAAGAAGGTAAAACCATCGTAGTTGGCGAATCAGAAGCCAACACGAAGAAGCCATGCTGCTCTTCGTCTTGAAGATCATCCTATGGTCTTTTCCCTTACTATCGCGCTCCTTGTTACCTCAGTTTCTCTGCTGGTTTATATCATGTCCCTGATTTGTTTTTCTTCTTTTTCTTTCTTTTCCAATTTTTTGACTGCTTCCATGATTATTATTCGGTCATTTGACAATCTCTTGTGATGGCTTGAGTTATATTGTTCTACATGATGAGTTATAGGAAATTTTCCTCAGCTAAGAGTGTGTGTAGAGGAATATTGGAATGTTGAAGTGTGTACTGAGGGCGAATATTTAAATAGGGAGCTGTATGGTTCTCTTGTATGAGGAGGAAGACTTGAGAAACTCACTTCAATGCCATGTTCTTGTGGGTAAATCTCTAATGATGTGAAACAGAAACGATAACACAGAAAGCAAGGAAAAGTTTTAGGCTCTCTTGCTTTTTTGTGTTGACCATATTCTCTGCTCGTCAAGCTCATTAGGGAAAAGTTTTGCATCTTTAACTGTTGGATTACGGATTATGATGCGGAGCAGACGGCTTGGTCCTTTATTTAGTTGAATGGAAATGACCAATAACGATTTTGTTGTGAAATCAAATGCAACTTTGAGTTCATGGACGCTGAAGGCTGCTTGTATCCTCGACAGACTGAATTTTCTTCTCGTGTTCGTTGGGTTACTTGAAGAGAGAACAAATGGAAGCACTGAACTAGACGGAGCTTTTAAACAGACATGGTCTATGAAAGTGAGATAGCCCGAATGCATTTACATTGCAGGGAGAAGAGTGATGCCTGTGACAAGTAAGGACTACAGCACACGTGCTTATTTATAAGCTCAAAACTCTGTCCTAGACCCACGTCAGTGGCCCTGTGGCCACTCCATGAACATGGAAAACCCGGATTCCATGAGAAAGATATCCGAAAATTTCGACTTGGCCTCTAATTTAGAGTGGACAGAAGGGCATACTGGTCTCGCCCCTGTGGCTAGGGATGGTGAAGTGCCTCAACCTCCCTTCCTGTTTTTTCAGGTAACCCTCACACAAGAATGCCTTGGAGAACTTGTCTTCCACAGACCTGTTAACGTCGTGGACAAACACATCCGTCTCTCCATCTTTCCTATTCCTAGCCATCATACCAGCCGTGTATATCGCCGTCATCCTCCCTGGTGCCTCCTCATAGTATCCTGTTGGCGCATCAACCATGATAAGGTCCCACTGTTTCTCGTAAACTTCGGTTGGCAAGCCTTTGAGTGCGAGTTGGCACATGGAGTATCTAGGGTCGCTGACAACCATGCACTCCGGCACCTTCCCTACCTCCATTAGGTTATCCGCCTGGTTCACCTTGCTATCATAAGTCACGTGATATGACTCCAACATCGGAAACCTTCGTCTGATTTGCTCTATCCATGCCTCATCTTCTTCTAGGAAGATGGTTCGCCCACCGTAGTTGAGGGAGCTCCACATGAGGCTGTCGTGGCCGAGTCCGAACACGAGGAAGTTGCACGGGGATTTCTTTTTGAGGACTCGGGCAGTCACCGAGATCTCTTTGAGTGTTTGTTGAGGGGTGATGGTCGAGGTTGTGTAGTGGATGAGAGCTTGTGCTAATGGATTGGGGATCTTGGAACAAGTCGGCGAGCAGTCGGACGCTCTTGCCTCTGATGAGGCTTTCAGGGTGGAGTTTTGCGAAACGGAAGAGGAGACATCATGGGTAGACGAAAAGCTCGATCTCAAGATGAAGATAACGAGGAATGCGAGGAAGACGCCAAGGAGAAGGAACTTGTGGTTGAGGGGGTAATTGCCCTTGGCCTTCATGCTTCCCAGTTGTATCCCTCGTTTCGCTCCAGGAAGCAATAAAAAAAGAACTCTCTGCTGTCGCGAAACAAAAGAGAGGTTGAATCTCAGGTTATAGAAGGTAGGGAATCTTAAATGGGAGAAGATGGGACACGTAAGTTGTCATGCTTGGTTAGGAAGGGAAGAAACATCGGGTGATTTGAAGAAGACATGAGAGCTACCAGTAGTGCCAATGAAGCATTGTTGGTGGATCCGAAGTGATGATGTGAGTTTACCTTAGATTTCATATTCAGGTTGGTGTTATGGTAGGTTGGTCCGACGGCAAAACACTCCTTAGCATGGGACAAAGAAGGCGAATCATCCGAAATGCAATGCCCACTTCACTTCTCAACACAGCAGGAATCATCACAAACACCTAAACCTTTTTGCATTTTCAGTTCATTTAGAAGCGAGTTCATAGAGACAGCAAACAGTTTTCATGTCTCTGTCTTGCACTCTTTATTCTGACCATAAAAGGTAATATAAAAACAAGGAGTTATCCACACAAAATCATTTTGTAAATTGTTCTCTTGTAACTACATTATTACCAACACCAACTCCAAGTTGATGCTTTGGTATTGTTATCAAACAATAAAGCTAGAGCCAAATGAAAAAGTTGAAATGCATTGAATGTTCACTAAGTAACCCCCTCTAAATATATGTTTACAAGCAAGGATAATGTCTATTATACTTGAACATAGCACTGCTCGAAAAGAGTAAATTTTCGTATCGTTTATTATGATGAAGTAACATAATTTCTCATTAGGCACGTGTGAATAATTAACTCACCAAAATTCAATTGTCGTTGAAATTTTTTTATGTTTTTTTTTTCCGATTTTTGGCTAAAGAATGTCCTGAAGCTTTAGGCCTTTAAAAGTCAAGGAACATGTTTTATCTGTTCTTACATAATGCATCCAATAGACTTGACTAGATTGTTTAAATTTGTAATTTTGTAAAACATAAATAAATAGTCGTGGTACTTCAATGTTTAGCTCCTTTGTCTATTTCTATAGATCGCTGTGAACTTGTACTGTCGAGGGAATTATTGAGAAAATAGTTCGTTATTCTTATATTGCTCAAAGATAATTCTTTATTGTTTACTCTACTAAAAGTTAGCATTTCAAAAGAAAAAACGAAAGAAAGAAAAGAAGACAAAAATTGTAGCCGCTCTTCAAATCTTGGAGACGATCACTTGAGGGTTGGAATGAAATGCTGGCCCTGGCTTGGCTGGGTTACCAATTCCATATTTTGTTTGTTTGGACCCCAGTTTTTGGAACAAAACATCATATAAGAGCTTTTCGGGCTATCCGCGCTCTGACGTTTTCTTGATTTGGTGCGTGTTTTCAAGGATTCTTAGAGAACGGATCACCAATCCCTCGAACATTGTCAAATCTGGGTGTTATCATACGTTATATAAAAGTCACGAGAAAAATGTAAAGAGAGTAAAGAGTTCGACTGGTCGCAACCTAGGGATCTGTCTCTCGATGAAATGTCCATGCTTTGGTTGGTGAATTCAAGACCCTTTCACCTTTTTAGGCCAAATATGCAGATTTTGACAAACCCCATGGACGACCAAATCTGCAGAAGTTGAACTGTGAAAAGAAAAAACAAGAGACCGACAAAAAATTCTAAGTCAGAGAACAACTGCCATCTACATTAAACTGAAATTCCAACTACACATCAGGTGTTCAACACACAAAGACAACACTTCCAGAGTTGAACCTATATCTCCTGGCCTAACAATATACAAAAGACCAACTCTAATATAAAAGCGGGACACTTCCAAGTCCAACAGAAGTATAGACAGATCTATTGCTAAACAAAAAAAGAGGACGATATTTCCCACGCAAATCCGCAAAATGATAGTTAAGGTTACTGGCGGTGTCCCACGCCACCACTCATCCTCACCTGCAGCAAGTACACAATTAGACAAGTAGAGTTAATATAAACCAACAGAGAATCCCAGCAAGTAATGGATACTTAAGATGCGATTTTCATCACGATACTTGTTAGATAAGTTCACTTGAAGCTGGAGATGAAGAGTGGGTATTTGGAAGGACCAGAGGATTTTTTAAGCCCACATCCACAGAAACAGTCTGACTCGTACGGCAACCTTTTAGTACATACTGTTACAAAGGTACATGTACACGTACAGGAGTCGCACAATGCAGCTCATGCTGCAATTTTATGTTTACGGACATAATTGTTTCCCCCTTGATGAAAAAATCATGACTTTTCCTAATGAAGCTCTCTTTAGGTAAGCAGGATCATGAACAAAAAAGTCCAAATGTACACCACTCTGCTTTTATTTTATTTTTTTGGGCGCAGCTGGATCTGATTAATAAACATACAACACTCCAAATAAGCAAAAGAATAAGCAGCCAACACAGCATCGTGGGAAAGAACTTATTTGACATGCACCTCACACGCACAAGTGAAGGAAAAAAAGAAGTGCAAGGTCGTGCTTACCAGGAGAAATTGTTTAAACGTTCTTCGAATTCGTGCTGGGCACTTTGAACCGCTTCGTGCATGATGTCAACACTGGTTCTCAACATTGTGATTTCAGAATCTTTCTCCTCCTTCTCTGCTAAGGCTAGTATCAGTTCCTCTTGAAAATGCCTTATCTCCTTAATGATCTTTTCGACCTTTCCCTCGATTTTGACTCTCTCATTCTTAAGCCCTGCAATTTGAGTTTCAGCTTCATCCCACTTTTTGTCAAGCTTGTCTAGTCCATCTTTTATCGAAAGCAGCCGCGTCAAATGACTCTTGATCACTTGGGCATCAAAACCATGCACCTCCAATTCTACAAGGTCTTCCAAACAGGTAGCAAATCTACTTTTGGAATCAGTGATCTTCAATTTGGAAGCCATCTGTACTGTATTGGCAAAAGTCACCATCTTGGCAATGGCCAGTCCTTCACGAGATCCTGCCTTGGTATCACTTAAAGGTAGAAAATGAGGTGCTTGAGGGAACTTTTGGAATACTTCCAAAGATTCCACCGCTTTCCATATTGGTGAGGTTTTCACAAAAGGCAACGCAGGCCTTTTGTTTGGCCTAGTGTCACCCTCGGCTTCACCCTCAAGGTCCGCATCCTCCTCAAGCTGAATAACCTCTATTGCCTCATTCACTTGGTTCCCCCCACCAAGACGAGAATGTTCTAGATAAAACAAAAGCAAATAATTCCTTTCAAGCGAAACAACTCTTTTCCTAAACTGATTTAATTCTTGGAGAAAGGAACTGTAAAAGGCCCATGTGCTTACCAGATCTATCCAATATTTGAGAGTGCAATTCTTCGAGCAACAATCCTTTGACCCCTGAGTTGGTTATATGCCTTCCAGTGACATCTTCTACTACTTTCGCCACAGCCACACTATGCTTTTCAGAAGCTACAGCCACACTATGCTTTTCAGAAGATACAGCTAACATTTCAGCAGATGCATCTTGAGAACCTAAGAATGAGAAAATGGGAGAAAAATATGAATGAGAAAATGACCTGTGAGAACGTGCTGAATACAATGTCTCTCAACTCAGCTATTTATTCCCACAGTTGGAAGACTGTATATCATGAAGGCACATTTGGTTTGGAAGTCTCTCAACTCATTTACTCAATTGCATGATATCTTGTGAAGACACAGGATATGTCTTTGACACATGCTCCGTGTTATTCAAAATAAGAAGAAAAGGCATTGAATGTCAAACCTGCTTGGTGGAGGCTCAGAGAAAAACTTTTGATGGCCAGGGTATGTAAATATGTGTGTGAATGGCCGCAAGTTATTAGATGATTTACATCAAATCAAGCTATACATGCCAAAACCAAAGCCATTATTTGCTTATGTCAAAAGCATCTATCCTGGTACCAGCAAAGGAAACAAAATATGTTCGTGACAACACTAAAAGTATTCAGTTTCATTAATGCAATCTTCTTAAAATTATCATTAAATATTTCAGCAATGATTGGCGTCTGTGTCTACGAGGCCTTACCACTCAAATGTTCCACTGGAGTAATTGGGAAGCCCAGTCCATTGTCTGCAGAAGACGCGTCATCTGCTCTCTTCTTCTTGCCTACATAGTAATCCATCAATGTTTCTTGTGCAAAGAGAGCAAATACTTGTAGCTTAAAATGACTATACCTGTCGCTGAAGCATTTTCAGTCCTGGCATGTAACTTCACAAGTCTTCGTCTCTTTCCCAGCTGACTATTTCCCATATCCTTGCTTTGAGAAGTATTCTTTTTTTTATTAGAGGGTTCATTGAGCTGCGGAACAAGCATCCAGCAGGAGGAAGAAATAGATAATGGTTCAGTTGAAGCCATGGAGAAAAGATATTCATAGAAACATTAAATATGGAGATATGCACTAAGGGCGTCGAAATTGATGATAATACTAATCGAATCAGCCATGTTACCAGCTGCACTTACTGTTTTAGGCTTCTTGGGAGGGAGAAAAGACGTGGAATCATAGCCGGAGTGTTGCTGCTCTGTCTCCTTCTCACTGGACCCGACGGTAGAAGAAGTGAACATCTCATTCGGAGTTGATTGCTTCATTGAGCATGGCATAGGTGTGGCGACGCGAACTTCAGCATCCTCCCCAGAAATGGTGTTACGGCGTTTGGCAAGGGCAATCAGCTCATTGAGATGGTCAGAAAATTCCTGCAAGCAAGAATCAGAATATAAAGCACCAAGAATCGAACCACGCAAAATGGTGAGGACTGATAAATTTGGACAACCCCAACAGGACTGGAAGTCCCGGGACAGATTCATTTCTCTCTTCTTCTTCTTCTTCTTCTTTTTTTCCCCTCTTTTGCCATGAAAACCTGCCGTAAATATGGATTCTTAAAGCTGAGAGCCACTTTGGTTTGCAAGAACAGGAAATGGGCGAGGATGCTTAAAGGGGGGAAATCATGCAGGAAGCAACCTTCGCAGTAGCAGCCCAACAATGCCCGTGGAAATCGCAAAGTTGTTGGGACTTCACATCAATCAAACTCACGACATACCTTTACCCTAGGTTAATCCGAAAGGCGCGATACCTAAAAAAAAAAAAACCAAAAAAAAAACAAGACAACACGCAACGATGGCCATGAAAGGAAACAAACCCACGCGTCCATCAAAACAGAAAGGAAAGAGAGAAAAAGGGGGGGAGGGGGAGGGGGAGGAGGCAAATGAGTACCAGACATTTAGGGGGAAGACACCATTTGCCCTCGAGGAACTCCCAGTGCAGCCTCAATTGGTGGCGGGCGAACTCGAGGACATGCGGCGGGTCCTCGAAAGCCACCAAGTACCTGCCTTCCCCCGTGATCCTCGCGATCACTCCCGTCCACCACCCGTCCCGGTCGTAGGTGTCCACCACCAGATTCTCCTCCATGGCCACTTCCCCCTCCTCCTCCTCCCCCTCCTCTCCCGGAGGCAAGGGCCGGATGAAGATGGCGTCGCTGTACTCCCGCAGCGGGGTGTGGCCGTCCTCGGAGAGGAGGTTGGTGTACTCGATCAGGGTGAGCCGCTTCTTCTTGAACTTGGACTTGTGGTACACGGGGGGCTCCACGACCACGGCGTCGAACCAGGCGCCCTTGAAGCCCTGCTCCTTGCTGGTGACCTCCACGCGAGACCCTTTGCTCCAGTAATCCGAGCTACCCATCTCCTCCCTTCCGCACCAGAAATGCCGGAGACTGCGATAACCCAAAACGGGTCGAATTCCTCTGCGCAGGCGAAGGCGGAAAAGCGCGATGTGGGCTTTTGTTTTGTAGAGCACGCAGCAGTGGTGCGGGGAGCATCTGACGATGCACACGCGCTTGCTGTGGACTGTGGTGGCGACTGTGGAGTCCAGCTCTTCTTTTCCTTTTTTTTTTGGTTGTTTGGGGGGAGGGTCAAGGGAAAAAACCACTAAAAACCTCAAACTTTATCACTTGTGACACATTTACCCCGAACTTTTTTTTGTATCATGAAAAACCCCAAACTATGCAACTTGTAACACATTTACCCAAATATACTATAGCCTAGGGCATTTTAGTCTTTTTCCCTTTTTCTATTTTTTTCTGCTTTTTTTTTTCTTTTTTCCGGCAAGGGTTGCCCTCGCCTCGCCGACGTCGGGCGAGGGACCCTCGCCCCGCCCAGGCGAGGCGAAGGCTGCCCTCGCCTGGGCGGGGCGAGGGCTGCCCGCCGGCGTCGGGCGAGGGCTTCCCTCGCCCCGGCCAGGCGAGGGCAGCCGGCAACCTCAGCCCCCGCCGGAAAAAAGAAAAAAAACAGAAAAAAAATAGAAAAGGGGAAAAAGACTAAAATGCCATAGGTTACAGTATATTGGGGTAATTGTGTCACAAGTTGTATAGTTTGGGGTTTTTCTTGGTACAAAAAAAAGTTCGGGGTAAATGTGTCACAAATGATAAAGTTTGGGGTTTTTAGTGGTTTTTTCCCGGGGGTCAAAGATCATCTGACAGTTGGTGCTCTAAAATTTTGTATTAGTAATTTTTTCTTATAATTTTTTTGGGTCAACTTTTATTAGTGATCCAAACATGTATTCTATTTCAATTATGTTTATAATGACCCTGAGAGATTTGTTGAGGTAATATTTGTGGATAATGCCAAACAAACGGATCTGATGTGATAATAAATACGTGACGCTCTTAGTCACCTTAGACTTTTAATCGTAATGCATGTTGGATACACGGAATTTTTTGATGATAATGTGGACGGATAATATTGTTGGATCCATATAAAAGTGTGCATATTGATGAGACAAATTTAAAAAAATTGGAATTTTTGTTGGGACAATCACTAAGGTTAATGTAGCGTGTAGGTTACTTATGCTATGTGTAGTGACACGATGGTCTATATGCCGACATTTTTGTGGTTATAACTAATAAGGTGTTCGATTAAACAACAAAGCAATTTATTCATCTATTTGTGATCTTGGTTCGAGTATTTTTGGGAACATGCCGGGAGTAAATTTGCCAGTTAAAGAAGGTACTAAAAAATCGGTCCAAACTAGTCTAAACAATCATCTGATCGTTAATCCAAAAAAAATTGCACAAAATTACTTATTCGCATATTCATTACTTTGGCCAAAAAATTGTTTACACAATATTCAATATGTCGATTTTGCAAGTGATTAATATGATAGTATCTTTTACTAAGAAGTTGCACTGGGGATTCTAAATTAGTTTTTTTTTTTTTAGGACAGGTTGTGATCCATCTCCCCAAGCGATATTGAGGACACACTCCCCCATCCGGGTTTGGTGTATTCAAAATTTTACTTCCCATCGAAACTTGCCCTTAAGATTATATGGAGAGGAGTAAACTCTCTTGTCACCCAATATCAGAAATCGCCAAGAAAAAAAAGCTCCTCTGTACAATTAGTTACCCCCCCTGGGCCTAAAGGAGATTAACTTGGTATTTTAGTTGCATGTGCTTATTATTATTATTTTTTGCATTTTCCCTTTGAATCCATACTTCGAGATACTACATGCTAATTTGTAACTAGCACCAAACTTAATATTCACGGCACTCCAATTGTTACTACGTGCAAAAAACTTATTTTTGACAAACGTATATTTTTTTTTTACAAGTGCCGTATGGTTACTAATAAAGTTAAATCATGATTTGTAGACAATTAGAATTAACTGAATGATGAACTGTATCATACTAAATGATAGAGAAAAGTAGGAATTCAAGATGATTAACATTAATCTCGTCTCAGTACGCAAGTCTTTCAAAGATTTTAAGCTTACATTCAACCATTTTCATTTTAGAATCATCATAACTCATTTTCCCAAATACCCTAACTACGACTTTTGCTTACTTTAACAATTTCTTTTTTCATTTTTTGGCACTCTTATCTGAACGTGTCTTTTTTTTTTTTTCCCCTAATTTTACAAATAAGGTGAGTTTTAGGGCTAGCTTGTGTAAAAAACAACATATTGGTTTGGAGCTTTGTCCTTACAATATGAAGTGAAGAGAAATTAAGGAGGCCATGGACTATTGCAATTCGATAAGAGCTATTCATAATTTCGATGTATGTGGTTTGGATGTTTGGATCAAGCCCACAACGGGCGGCCCAACCGAACCCAAAAATCCAACAAAGCACGTATCAATGTAAGGCGTAATGTAAATTCGTAATTAGCACCGGTGTCATTACCCACATAAAACGAATCATGGCCGGTCTCGAGGGGATTCAATCGGATACCAAGTCTTCAAATAAGGATTAAGCAATCAAAATTATACGCCATTTGGTTGCCGACCGGCATCTCCATTTCCTGGCAAAAGACATCTAGTTTCTAACAGCTTTCATTAATCAAAGAAAAACTCGATTTCAACACACACAAAAATTGTCGCTCCGATGAGGTGTCTCGCGTCGATTGGCCTTTACTTTATTATGAAGTTGGTCAGGTGTCTATACAAGACGAGCTCGAAAGGAACAGAGCAAGAGGAGGCTGAACGGCCGCTCTTTAATGCTGATGAGGCCAACCCGACAAAACAGAAAAGTGTGGTTGTTGGATTTCCACAGAATTGTCCAAAACTCTCAACAAATTGCAGATAGGTCCCTCCCCCAAAAAGCATTATTTCTTCAAATTCTCACAATTCTCATGGCGTGTAGGGTCGTAGCGTGTGGCTTTTGTCTAAGTGAAGGAAAAATGGAAACGTGTTCATTAGATTTGCTTTTCAAACGAAGCATCCATGTTAGCCATTGCCTTGATTTTTCTTCCCAAAATTTTTTTTTTTGGTCGAATTGATCTTTCTTCCCAGTTGAAAATAGCTTCTTTTGCTATTAAAAATAAATGTCAACGTCACATGGAGATCGGAAACAATTTGCTGCCCATTTTCCACCTATCTTAAAGAAGTTATGCACAATTCTTCGGACAAACCTTCTCACCAAATTAACCTTATTCAAACTCACCTAATATTACACTTGGGCCCCATGATCGAGTTTGCTTGGTGTAGATTTTTGTCACTCGTTTACAAAAAAATATATATATATATATCTTGACTCGTAGAATCTCCTCGAGTGCTTCCATACAAGTTGAAGCAAGTTAACATTGCATGAGATCGACATAGTAATTATCGAACAATCGTTTTGTGCGTGAATTTTATGCACGGCATAAATTCAGTTAGCTCGACCGTTAATTACAAATAATCTCGTATTCGGAACACAATTCCAATTCAGTCGTCATTTGAGATAAAGAGGTATTGACGAACTCAAAATTATCAACCCGAATGGAATTGCTTCTTCATTAAAAAGGCACCGACACAATTCTTCATTGTGCTATCTCCGTGTCGATATATTTTCAAGCTTGAAAGTGGGGAATTTTACCATTTTTTCCGGATGGGAGAAATGGTTCAGCATTTCAAATAATCGAGAGAGGAATTTAACTTAAAATTGAAGTTCACAAGAAGAAAAAAATGACAATTCGAGCACGAAAATTACTTCAACGGGTCGCACAATCAAAACTCGAGAATCCGTATTTAGCGTGCACGGAATTCAAATTAACAAAAGATAACGAGAAAAGAAATATTATTTTTTTCGGAGGCTATTAATTTAGTCACGCACCCTCCACAAATTGACGACATCAACTCGACCTGCTCACTCGGTCCAAACAGAAGAATGTCGTGACACGCATTTCGTGCGAATGCGAGCAAGATCAAAGAAGGGAAAAGCATGAAATCGCACAACCATAACAATTCACGTCACTCGTCTCCCACCGGGTGGTTTTGGTACGAGGAAAAAGAAAATTGATCCGCTCGCCCTAGAAAAGTAGCCCCCAAAAAAAATTACTATAAAATGATGGGGGGCCGAAACCGAAAAGCAGGGCAAATACCGGGGGGGGCCTAGGCTGCAAAAAAAAGAAAAACGCAGGCGACATTCGCGTCGATATGTATGAGTGAAGAGTGGCCAAAGGCATTTAAATATTCAACCAATCCCAAAGGCCAAGGCCCCCCCGCGAGCAACGGCCAAGCAAAATGGCTCGTCTTCTTTGACCCCCGAGAGAGCATCGCCAATCGCCATTCTCTCTCTCGCGGCCTCCGTTCGCTTCCCGATCCCTCTCCACTCCGCTCCGCCGCCACCGTTGGCCTTCCGATTCGCCCGTTTTCCCCCTCCTTCCTTCCTCAGGAAGATGCTGGAGAACGGCGACCGCGCCGCCGGTCATGAACCCGCCCGTCCTCATCACGAACAGGTCGGTTGCCTTCGTCCGCCTTCGATGCTGCTACCGTACCAAAATAGCGACCGATGCTGCTGCTGAGGGCCGTAGCTCGGAGCGTCCTTGCATTAAACAGATACTTAGTTGCCTTTTTTCTTGTTCGATCGATCGACTTGTGGCGATCGCGTGCTCTCTATCTCATCGTCGCCTCCTGTTTGTCAGGTCAAGGTTGACCCCGGGAAGCCCGCGCCGCTCACCTGGCGACGCAAGATAAGCAGCCAGGGCAATGTACCCGTGGAGTTCACCGTCTCCTTTCGAGACAAAATCCACTTGGTACGCCTGCCGCTTAATTATTCTCTTCTGGATCGATCCTTCTGAACAGCTCCCCCCCCCACCACCCCCGCGATGACACGACTTGCTGTCAAGACAGGCTTTGGTTTTCTATCGGTCAATGGCGTACTCTAATTATTTCATCGCGACTTGCCGCAGTTCATGGCCACCGTTCGCTTTATCTGTGGACAAGTTACTGCCCACAATTTCTTTCTGTCAGAAACTCGGTATCTATAATTATAATTAAATCAGTAAATAAATATATTAGCTAGCGATTGCAGAAAACAACCAAGTCGAAGAGCCAAACTGTAACAGCATACAAGATGGACCTAGAAATTTCTGAAATTGCTGATTGCGAGTGTAATTTTTGCAGGAAATAAACGCGCATGTTCAAATTTTTTTTTTTGTACATCCGGTGCTCATACAATTAGATTACGTGTTTTTTGGGTACTTCATGTGAGTACCATCGTTAAAATAATTATCGAAGGAGGAAAGCTACACAATTTCCACAAGCCAGTACATGAGAGGCGGATGACATTTTAAACACGTGTTTGCTCTAATAGCTCATCATATTTGAGTAGTCTTACGTAGTTAACTTAATTTGAGAAATTATCTGCCATACGATTTTCTGAAACAATTTATAGGAGTTTCTGAGAGGTTGTTGCAATATTTAATAATTCCGTCAGAACCTAAATTACATTTGTCTTTTAAAAATTAGCTAAGCTGATTTGAAATGTGAAGCAGGTAACTTCCAACTACTTTCAAAGCTTGCCGTCCTGCAAATACTTAAGCAGTCATAGTCCATGCAAGCACATTATTATTGACCTGTTGATTTTATCGGCATTTTCTTTTTTCTTTTTTTTTTGTGTTTTTATTTCGTATGTTAAGCACTCTGTCTATGGTTTTTAGGCTCCAATAGGTTTTCGGCTATGGCGTCAAATTCGAGAAGAAGCTGCCAAGGGGATGGTAACAATCCATCTAATTTAGATGTACTTGTCGTATGAAATTCGTGTACGACGAGGAAAAGAAATGCCTCACTTTACCAAATTTTCAGGGGACCATCATGAATCCTTTCACAAAGCGCCCTGTGACATCAACTCATGCCATTCCTCTTGGCGGTATTGGGTGGGTTTTCAGTCTCTACTATTCCCCAGTAATACAACGTGAAATGCATCTTAAGCACTTGGGGACATCATCACTCTTATGCTAGTCATCAAGGATTCTGCATCACAATGTCCATTCCCACCTGCCCTGGGGGTGAGGGGAGGGAGGGATGTATGATCACTGCATACAGCTTGTATCTCACCTGCAGATGTTGCTCATTTTCCTTTGGCAGTTTCTGCTGCAGTTCAGTGCAAATACTCTTTAACCTGATATGGAAAAAGATTAGAGTTATCACCATGAAGTGATTTTGGCTGTACACAATATAATTTCTTTGCATGGTGACTTTTTTTTTCAAGATCTGGGAGCATTGGAAGAAGCTATAGTGGTGAATTTATGCGTTGGCAACTATTCCCCAGAATATGTGAGGACAAAGCAGTTTTAGCTAATCAATTTTCTGTAAGTTCGTTGTTTACAATTTGGTAAACTTTCTCAGTCTCCTTTGCAGAATTCCAATTTGTTTGGAAACCTTCATCTGTTGTTAGTTATAGTGGAAAATCTATGGTTCAGCTTACATAGTGAATTCAACTCTGTATAGGTAATCATGCTTTATGCCTTTCTGCTCTTGCCAAATGATTTCAAGTATATCATTATTTGCAACTGATGCCACAGATGTCTTGACTCCGTGCAGGTGTTTGTTTCTCGCCCCAATAGCGAAAAATATTCTACCGTGCTCTGCCCTGGGTCTCCAGCTGAACTCAAGTAAGAGCTCTCTTCAGTATTTCTTCAGAAACAGTTGGCTGTTCAAACAATGGGAAATGAGGTCACGCCTTATCGACCAATGGAAGCAGTTGTAAAGCTTTAACTTACTGGAAAACATGTGCTTAAACAGAGAGAGCCCCAATTCAGGAATTGGATCCTGGGACTGGAAGCTGAGCGGTAATAATTCCACATATCATGCGCTGTATCCTAGGGCATGGACTGTATATGAGGGTAAAGTCCGACAAAAATTGCTTTAGTATTCAGTGTAACTAGAACTCAAGATGAAACCTGGCTGCATCATTCTTGTTCTCCATGTACAGGTGAACCAGATCCTGCCCTTAGGATAGTCTGCCGTCAAATTTCCCCACTCATTCCTCATAATTACAAGGAGAGCAGTTTTCCCGTGTCTGTTTTTACTTATACGGTATAAGTGAAATGAAATTAATTGATCTCTAGAAATTTCCCTACGGTTGGCCTGTTATTAACCAGCGTTTTGTCCCTTCAGCTATATAATTCTGGAAAGACTGCTGCAGATGTCACTTTGCTCTTCACATGGACTGTGAGTTCACTTTCAATTGTTTTTGCATTGTTGATTAAGATGGAGCGTTTCGTACCGTGTAGCATCAATCGATCTTTCCTTCCATGAAACTGTTACTCTGAGCAGAACAATCACGTTCTCACGTGATGTTGTTTATCTATGCCATAACAGAATTCTGTGGGAGGGATGTCTGAATTTTCTGGTCATCACTCCAACTCAAAAATTATGTAAGCTATTCACTCATCTATAAATCGCATCAGTGATGCTAAAGTTTGATACTGACTCTAACAATCTCATGGTAGGATGAAGGATGGAGTCCATACTGTACTTCTGCATCACAAGTTTGTTCCTATCCTTGATAGAGCATATTTCTCCTGATTTGACTTACTTGATGGGTTTACCCACATCTGTTTATCTGAAAGTAATACGAGAGACGATCATTCATGAACTCAGGACTGCAGATGGTCTTCCCCCTGTAACTTATGCAATCGCAGCTCAGGAAACTGAAGACGTTCATGTCTCAGAGTGCCCTTGCTTCGGAATATCCGGTAATTTTGAGGGTATCTCAGCCAATGACATGTGGAAGGAGATAAAACAGGTTGGTTCATTTGCATTGCATCGAATATATACCTCACTATAACGTTCTCCAGCAGAAGCAAGATATTTGCTTGGTTTTTGATTTGTTGGTTTGTGCATGACCACTGATAAGTGAAGTTTGACACAAGTTACTGCAATGTTCGATTTTCCAATTATAAATAATTTGTCCTGTTTTTTCACTCACATTATTTGCCGTTGATGTTTCCTGAACTGCATTGCAAGTTTTAAGTAGATAGCTTTAAGTGTAAAGCCCTGAACAAAAGACTCGAGGAAATTGCAAATAGTCATTCAAGAATCTGGTTTTTCTGTTATTGCAAATAGTTATTCGGCATTGCATGTAGAACTATTCCTTTAGGGATTTTTAGTTTCACTGTAAAATGACTAGCTTATGCTTGCCTCTTTTTATTTGAATGTCCTCCCACCAACCTCTAATGTCATCATTTTGGGTTCTGGTTACTTTGAACTATTAAGAGGGTCTTTTGCAGATGTTATATTCATCACAAGAAGTGTTCCTCAGTGATCATACTGCCATTGAAGATTTGTTAATTGCACGTGTAAAGATTGTCAATAATTCTAGGGGATATGCTTACTCTATATGCACGAGAATAACTTACTGATTTTATCTTATGTCAATAGCATGGATCCTTTGACCATCTTAATTCCGTGGATGTGTCGGTTCCATCAGAACCAGGATCATCTATTGGGGCTGCCATTGCAGCTTCTGTGACGATTCCATCAGGTACAGTGCGTACAGTGAACTTTTCCTTGGCATGGGACTGCCCAGAAGTAAACTTTATGCGGGGAAAGACATATCACAGGTGATAGGACATTTACATAATCAAGAGTTTGAAAGTATCTATAGATCATTGGTTTGATGAAAAACAATTTGTACAGGAGGTATACTAAATTCTACGGTACACATGGAGACGCTGCGGCAAATATTGCGCATGATGCAATCCTTGGTAAACATTTAGCTTTTCATTCCTGCAAAGGCAATTAGTTTTCTTAACAAGTAAATTTTTTGGTCCTTTGTGGATTGATCGATTTTAGTAATTGATGCCTAGCCATAAACAGTGATCGAGTTTTGATACTGCAATTGAGTATCTTTTATATCTCTGTGTGATGCTGAATGGCTTTTTCTTATAATTTGCCCCTGAAGATTACTGTTTATATCTTTCTCATTTTATTCGAAAATAGAACATGGGCAATGGGAGTCCCAGATAGAAGCCTGGCAGAGACCTGTTCTTGAAGACAAGAGGCTTCCTGAATGGTGAGCTTAATATGAATTGCAGGAGCTAGGCTGTTAACCCTATTGATAATGTCATCTAACGGACATTCGGTGCAGGTACCCTATCACTCTCTTCAATGAGCTCTATTATCTTAATTCTGGGGGAACAGTTTGGACAGGTAATTGTGCAACTTAGACTTCTATTCAAGGTTTATTCAATGTGGTTGGCCTTTTCTGATTCCCACTCTTGCAGATGGATCACCTCCACTTTGCAGTTTGGTTAGCCTTGAAGAAAGAAAGTTCTCCCTTGATAGGTTGAGATCCCATATGGAGCGTTCAATGGATGTCACTTCTCAACCTGATACTGCTGTTGATATTTTAGAAAGAATGACCTCAGTCCTTGAGCTAGTACATACTCCTGTCGCATCTAATTCTGCTTTTGGCACAAATTTGCTTCAAGACGGAGAAGAAAATGTTGGTCAATTTCTTTATCTAGAAGGAATAGAATATCATATGTGGAACACCTATGATGTCCACTTTTATTCTTCATTTGCTCTAGTTATGCTCTTTCCCAAACTCCAACTCAGTGTACAGCGGGACTTTGCAGCAGCAGTGATGATGCATGATCCTTCCAAGATGCAACTCTTGAGCAATGGACAAAGGGTCCCAAGAAAAGTCCTGGGAGCTGTTCCCCATGATATTGGTATCACTGATCCATGGTTTGAAGTAAACGCCTATAATCTATATGATACAGATAGGTGGAAGGACTTGAATCCAAAATTTGTTCTTCAAGTTTACAGGGATGTGGTTGCCACTGGCGACAAAAAGTTTGCACAGGCTGTGTGGCCTTCTGTTTATGTTGCGATGGCTTACATGGACCAATTTGATAGGGATGGAGATGGAATGATTGAGAACGATGGGTTTCCTGATCAGACATATGATACATGGTCTGTATCTGGCGTGAGTGCGTACAGTGGTGGACTGTGGGTTGCAGCCCTTCAGGCTGCATCTGCCCTGGCACATGAAGTTGGTGACAAGGGTTCAGCGGCTTACTTCTGGTTCAAGTTTCAGAAGGCAAAAGTTGTTTATGAGAAGCTATGGAATGGTTCTTACTTTAATTATGACAGCAGCAGCAGCAAACAAAGTTCATCTATACAGGCTGATCAGTTGGCTGGCCATTGGTATGTGTTCTGCATTCTTCTTGTGTAATTTTTTTCAAACCATAGGTAACTATGTTAGGTGACGAAGTTTTTTGGAAGGTAAATGGGAATATTGGTTCTTTATTAAGTAGAGAGTAAATGGAGACCTATAATCCGAGAAAGTCATATGACTCAAACATCAACTGCAGATGCAGTAGACCTTATTTGGAGCTGGCTTGAGCCTAGCCCCGTGAAAATAAATACACCTGACATTCAGGCTGGCACTAATATTAGACCAAAAAACCCTTTCCCATTCCCAACAATGATCGAAAAATCGATGGATTTTCTTCACAGAATTGATTAGGACTGGAAAGTCCAATTGGCCGTGCTTGGCCAGGCCGGGCTCAAGAAGAGAGTTGCTTGTACTGGCCTGCTCATATCAATAGTCAAACCCACCAATATGATGGGCACGCCTATTGGGCCAGCATGGGGTTATGATCATGATTGGGTCTAATGTTGAGTAGTGGGTTTAGCGATTTCCAATTTCAGTTCTTGCGGCAACATAATGCAAAATGATGACTTATTTAGTAGTGATTTTGTAGGTATGCTCGCGCCTGTGGTCTTCATCCTATTGTTGATGAGTCTAAAGCTAAAAGTGCTTTGGGAAAAGTTTACAATTATAATGTCTTAAAGTTTAAGGATGGAAGAAGAGGGGCTATGAATGGAATGTTGCCAGATGGAAGTGTGGACATGTCATCAATGCAATCGAGAGAAATTTGGCCCGGAGTTACATATGGTCTCGCTGCAACAATGATTCAAGAAGACATGATTGATATGGCATTTCAGACGGCCAATGGAATATATGAAGCTGCATGGTCAGAACAGGGACTTGGGTATGTTTCATTTTCCTTTCTAGTGCCTTAATTCAGAAATATGAGAACATTTAGTAAATGTAACACTTGAAGTTCTTAATCTGGTATAAAGATGTCCAGAGAATTTATCTTCCTTCTATGATCTATCTGACTCTTCCCAAAAGCTTATCCATATTTTGTTGTTGCTTGGATAATAATCTTCTAAAATACTGATGCGGCTAAAAAAAGCTTAGTATTTTATACTTCTCAAGTACAAGAAATACTATAGTGGAAGCTGTGCAATTTAACTTGAAAGTGATTTTCTCCTGATTTGTAGCTGAAAGATACCCCTAGAACTGACGTTTGTCTTATATAGAAGAGATTCATCGGAACTAAAATATGCCGTTCCGGATTTTTCGCACTTTAGTTCATCTCACACTTGGGTTTCTGTTGTGGCTACAGCTATTCATTTCAAACTCCTGAAGGTTGGAACGACAATGACGAATATAGATCTCTAGGTTATATGCGTCCTCTGGCCATATGGGCAATGCAATGGGCATTATCAAGGAGAAATTCTTCCAGGCAGGAGATGAAACCTGAAATAAGTGAAGAAGATTTGCTTCGACAGCATGCGGGATTCACCAAAGTGGCACGACTTCTGAAGCTGCCAGAAGTGGAAACAGCCAGAAGTCTCTTCCAGGTTGTATATGACTATACTTGCAAGCGGATGTGGATGTGACACAAATAAAACCCCAGAATAAGTGATCATTTATACAGCAAATTGGTCTTATCACAGTAAATTGTCTAGAATATGAATCGGCTGAATAACTGGTAAGAGTAGAAGTGTAATTACAAGTATTTTCTGATAAAATTTTGAATAGGCAATATCTTGTAGATGCATCCATTCCGGTTACTTTACTATCTCTTAAGCTGCAGTATCATCTGATTATGCTTAGCATGAAGAGAGAAAAAAAAAAGGACGTCAATTTCCTTTAAGAGGAGAGCATATCTTCCGCAATGACAATATGATGTGTTTTCCTGACGTGCAAATCTTCAAGCTCATTATTTCCCTGCAAATTTTGAAATGCAACAACTGTTTTCAAAAGAGAAGTTCTCACTTGTGGTTGAGTTCGTCACTGGCCCTTAGAAGACTAATACCTTAGCAGTTACTTCCTTTTCCTGGTTTCACCAATAAAAATGTGCGAGACTGTGAATAGGTTCTGTTTTCTTCATCATGAAGAGAATTAAGTGTATTTATGCGAGAATTTTTTCGGTTTGAAGAAAGGTGATCGGATAATCTAGCGTTAGACAAAGCACCAAATGTTAGGCGCCACGTGTTCCATCTTTAAATTCATAGCGCGACTATTTTATGCTGCCAATTTTACTTTCGTAGGGCTCAACAAGGTCACCAACTAAAATTAATGCCTGGTGCAAGGGTAATATCACAAAATTAAGTTAACGTGGTACAATCATGATAATTGTGTGTGTCTCCCTTTCAAGCTACTTAGGATATATTTGGTAACTATTCTGTTCTTGAAAATAATTTCTGTTCAGAAATGATTTTTATTTTATTTTATTACTGGAAACAATTTTTAAGCATTTGAAGGCGTTTGGTAATTGCCCAAAATTTCTATTCTTGTAATAGAAAAAGAACAGAAATGCGTTGGGTAATTGCATAATTTTTTTTTATTAATAATATTTTGAATTTTTTAATATTTCTTTCTTTCTTTCTTTTTTTTTCCTTTTTTCTTCTTTTCCTTCCTTGGCCCATGGCCAAGGCCGGCGAGGGCGTCGTGGCCCTCGCCGGCCACAAGCGAGGGTAAGGGCTGGACCCTCGTGGCCTGGGCGAGGGTGGCTCGCGGCTTGGGCGAGGGTTGCCCTCGTGGCCGCCCTTGCAGCCTAGGCCAGGGTCCGGCAAGGGCGACCCTCGCCCAGGCCGCGAGGGTCTAGCCCTCGCTAGATCCCGCTAGGGCGGCCCTCGCCCAAGCCATGAGGGTCCAGCCCTTTCCAGTCACTGGCCACATGCCAGGAAAGAAGAAGAAGAAGGAAATTTTTTTTTTCCATTTTTGATTCATGTTCCCAAAATCAAGAATCAACTTTTTTTTTTATTCTTGATTCTTTTTCAAAATTGATTCTGGGAACAAATTTGTGCTCGGGAATAAAAAATTTACCAAACGGATTTCTTTTCTTTTTTTGTTCCCGGAAACAAAAAAATAGAATCATGCACTATTTGGCCGGTTACCAAATATGCCCTTAGTGGACTCGGCATATGCTACAAAATACAGTTTTGGATGCAAATAGCCTACCATCAGGATTTCGCCGTATAGACTTCCATTTGTATTGCTTTAAGTTCCTAGCGTTCATACACCATGAAACGAATACGAAGCAGATGGTTGGTAACACGACAGAGAGACCCTCTCACTGAAATCCTCACAGATGACAAATTGCACGAGCTACTTGGAAACATGTGGCTCACAGAAGGGAATAACTATCATTTGAACAACTTCAGATGAACAATCAACGAATTCTCTGAGCAACGATATCCTAATCAACTTCCCTTTTACTGAATGGAGTGCTACCTTCAAGCTTCATCCCCATTCCAGTTAGGCTTCATTTTGGGTCCAGTAGGCCCTTCTTCCTTGAGAACCTCTGGAGGGAGGCTCCTGATGGCATTCCTAAACGCAGTCTTAACCTTTCCAGGCAATGCTTTTGCCGCCTTCTGCATCTCCTCTGCTGCGTCATAATCCACTCTAGGACCCCATTCCCTACAGTAGTTCAACCATGGCAACGCAGGAATGGCTGATGATCCCAGATGCTCGGCTGCAATTATCGAATAATTAGTGCCGGTGTCCAGGGACATGCTGCTCTTCCCAAAATCATTCCTCATTCCTATTCCACCACTCCCTTGCAAGAACGTCCCTGGTTTCATGTACGCGGCATGACCGTGCAATGATGCATAGACCACGAACTTGTTGGCATTTTGGAACTCAAGCCCTGAAGCACCCACCCAAATGCCCGCACCGTGTTCCGAAAAGTATACAGTCCAGAGCTGCCCATTGAAGTTGCTGATTCGTAGGGTCACATGCTCCCAATCACCCACATGTTCACCTATCCTCCCCAGCGAAAGGTTGACGAACTTCACTTTTGCTCTGGCAGGCCCATTGAAAGGGTAGAAGAGCCATATAGCTATGTCTGTGAATGTTGCCCCAAGCATTGGCTTTACATGCATGTATGCTTGAGCGCTCTGGAGGTATCCCTTTTTGACCCTGTCTTTGGCCGCTCCATCCAAAGGAAGATCCAACCAGTATGCACCATCGTTCGAACCACCCTGGGGGAGGTTGGAGCCTGTAGCTTCAACAGGAACAGGCTTTGATTCTTGTCCTTTCGTATATAGCAGGCCTCCATTTGTGAAAAACCAGTCTACTGAAGATGGGAGGTATGCTTCGTCAGGATGGAAGTAAACGACGGGAGAGTAAGCTTTGATTAGTGCCTCGATTTGGCTTCGATTTGGCATAGCTGAAATGTTGTACTTTGCATTCCTCAAACAAGATAAAGGCAAAGAGCTAGACTGGCCGTTTTGGGCGATGAATGTGCCTGCACTTACGGCAAGAGCTCCTATCCCTCTGTTGGAGGGTCTTGAGCTGAAGACACTGAATGTATTTCCATTGGATCCCCAAATAAAAGTTTCTGTCTCGCACTGGTCGGTCAGGTCAGACCGAACACAGCGAACTTTGTCAAGGGAAGGCTTTTCAGGCGAGGTAGTAACTACTTGGCCTACTGCTTTGTAACCATCGGGTGGTATTGGCAACCATATGTAGCCGCTTCCGTCTTGCTTTATCTTCGATGAGTTGCTGCTCCAAATCAGGCTGTAATCTACTGGCTTCTTTAAGGTCCCATTGGAGATATCATTTGTTTGGTCTTTCCCAACAAGAACCCATCCAGAAAGAGGCCTGTTATTGGGTTGGGCATAAGAACCAAACATGAAGTATCCCTCTGGAAAGGATGAAGGCTCCAAAAATGTTGCCCCGAGGTTGTCTGGTCCGTCCTCATAGACTGCCCAAACTTTGGAGAAAGATGATGTCTGGTAAACCAGCAATCCACCAAAGTCAATTGTACCACTGGCAAATCCTCCTCCTACATCATGGGTTGGGAATGAAAGTTAACATCAGGACCTTTTGTTTTTTGGAAATTAACAGACTTGAAAGTTAATCAGTGACAGAAGATACGAGTGAGGCATCATGACATTCGACAATATAACAGATCAGTAACAAAGTTTACCTGCTGGCCAAGTTGGCAACGGAGAGGGGAGCTTGAAGACGGTATCTACAGGCAAAGCCTCGCTCTTCTTGGAGATGGATCTTGCAGAAGGACATAAGGTAAGGCAATTCCCTATTTCAGAGTTCCCACATGAGCATTGCCAATAGCAGATGAATGAGTACAATGAAGTCGAAATAAATAATTGACTAAGAAAAAGAGAGGGAATCACCCCGCTCTATGCTTATGCCAGTGATATCCTTGTCTTTTAGCAGATCCTGTTTGATTTTTTTTTTGGTAAGGTGATCCTATTTGATTCATGCATAATGTTACAACTTGAGTTTGGCATATTTGAGTCTACTTTTTCGTCTACAATTGAAACGACGAAATTTGGAGAAGATACAGGTTGTGCAGGGTTGAAATGACAATGGCAATGGAGCAATGGATGACATGAGAAGTAATTCCTAGATATTGTCTCCATTTTCAAAAAGAGAAAAAGAGTTCGAGACGAAGAAGTCTCTCGCTAGTCGCTACATATAGTAATCTCGGTGGATGTGTTCCTTCAGACAATGCTTCAACTTTTTAGTGAATTTGAAGATTCATGCGTGACAAGATGGTTACTCTTACATTCGGAGAGCCCCTAAACAATCATACATACCAACAGTGAGCACATAAAATTTGCGGAAAAAAAACAGTTAGCACATCATAGAAGAAAAGAGGAGTGGCAGGAGGAAAATGAAGAGAAGAAAAGATTCAATTGATCTCGTCTACGATTCAACTGCATTAGATGCATTTATGTGCCCATACTGAGTCGAAAACATGACATCGCATCTTGGAAGCTATTAAGTTAATGAAGCATCTATAGATGGACTTGCTTTAGTTGGTATGTATTTTCCTTTTACTAGACTTTGGGGAAGAATTAGGGGAAGTCTCGGTCACAAGTTAACAACCCATGCATAAGCTGAAAACCCTTTTGATAATAGGTCGAACCCATATGAGACGAATAACAGAAATTACTTTCCGCGGGTAAACAATGGTGACATGACACCCCACTAGCCTTGGGTATATCAAAGAAAAGAAGTGGCCAGAACAGATGTCAATTTAGCTGTATTTAAGGTGGCTGCTTGCATGACTTTGAGTTCCTTCATTGGCTCGTATCACAGTCTTCAGCTATTGAGACTATAGCTTCTTTGACAGTCTAACCGTTGGTATGCCAAACTAAAGAAAAGTTCCTAAGTTCTATAATCAGGGACAATCAAAAGAAGAGGCCAGGCTGGCAGAAATCCGCTGGAATGATCGCAATATGTCATCTTGCATCTTCAAGACTCAACCGATTTACCCAAATTAAACAGGAACTCTTTTCCTCCTTAATTTGCTTTTCTAGTTAATCAGCAAGACGCTGATGAATCCGTAAGTTAGTTTTCTAGAGTGGGCTAGAATGGTGTGCTTTCAACAACCAAGCATCAACACGGCCAAAATTATGGGGGAGAACAGAGATGTACTTACCATCGCCCTCTGCCTGTGGCTTCGTGATGAGATCACTGATTTGAAGAAGAGAGATGCCATGTGGGTGAGGAGCAACTGCTTTAAGCAACCTGACATCACGATTGGATCCAAATGCGACCCCGCCATTTCTTAAAATCGCAACTTCAATGGAACCTTGTGGATTACCATTTTCCTGGAAAAGAGTGGATAAGTTGGCTCTGCCACTGGGCAGCTGCCGGAGCTTATGGAGATCGTAGTAGCCCGCCACCAGGTGCATGCTCAACACTCTCCTAATCACATCTCTTGATTCTCCAGAAAGACGGGAAATCACGGCGTCGTCCACGGCAAGAACGGTGAGGTTCGTTCGGCCAATGAGGGAGTCGGCGAGTCCTGTTTCGGCGAGATAGCGAGAGAAGGAGCCGAGATGGGAGTATTGGCTGAGGAAGCTGGTGGTGTTGAGAAGAGCAGAGGCAGCGCAAGAAAGGAGAAGATGGAGCAAGAGCAGGACGGGCAGGGAGGACCTGGGATGCATCTTTTCACCTGCAGCTCCAGGGTCCAGGAGAGGAGAACAAAACGGGAGCAAGAATGATTGGGATGATTAGCAGGAAAGAAAAACAGGGGAAGGGACTCATTTCACATTCCAAAAATAGATTTCCCTCAGCGATTGAGACGCTCTCAATGGTCAGTTTGTGGCCGCGCCCCTGTATAGGAGGACAGGACAGGACAGGACAGGAATAGCTACAGCATCCTCACAGGATTATAGCAATAGCTTTGGGGGTTGCGTAGTTGATATATCGACGTCGGTGGTAAAGAAAGAATGTCTTTGCCTTGGCAGGCAAACACGCGGGACAAGAGACAAACCGACGGCGGCCCCACCCACAAGAGCCGCACCCCCTCCTCCCTCGCATTTTCACACTTGCCCATCCATCGATCCTCATGAAAATGGCTCCTGATTCGTCACATCTTTGCATGCGGTGGCGTTTTCATTATGGTTTTTAAGTCTTAAATTCAACGGGTTACGATAGAGAAGGTGGAACATGTAAGGTGTAAACCGACTGAAAAAAAGAAAGAAGAAAGGATAGGACATTTCCGAACGCATTCTCCAACTCCAGCTCAGGCACGTCTCTTGGTTGAAACTTTGGGCGTTGACGAAACTGCGGTTCAACCACTACTTCTCTGCTGCTACTGCTGCTGCTGCTGCTAGTGCGAGCGGGTGGTGCCGTCCAATCGCATTGCTCTTCACGTGATCACTTTTGTCATTATCGCGTCCCTCCTTTTCTTCAACCGTGGAATCCGGGCCCTTCTTTACTTAGCACGACAATCTTCGACTGTTCCTCGTCTGTTTTCTTTGTATCTTTTCAATGCTTTTTTCTGTACTCTCTGCACTGATGAGGTTCGCAATGACCATTGACCATAACGAAATGAAAGATACCCTTTTGCATCTCAATTTACCCGATTCCGAGTATTAGCTTTTTGGTACAAACGCTACTGCCTACACGTCCTTACCATCAATTATTCGCATTTGGGGCCCGTTTATTTGGAGAAAAATTATTTTCGAGAAATTATTTTCGAACTGTATAGCAAACGTTTTTTTAGCAAGAAAAAATTCACTCTCCCTAAATCACAATACAAATGAAAATTAATTATCTTCCCGAAAAATGATTTGGCTAAAGTACCCGAGAAATACTTCCTACGAAATGAATTTTCAGGAAGATGTTTAATTCATTTTTCTAACTTTAAATATTTATATTTTCTTTAATTGTAAATGATTTTCAATTAGCAGTCATCTTCAACAAACAAAACACGTGAGAGTCCAAAAAATTAATTCGCGAAAATTTCCTTTCATCCCGGCAAATACGCTCTTAAATTCCGTGCGAAAATGAAATCTAACCTTCTCTTTTTTTGGTGAAAACGAATGAACAGACGCCACTGCTTTTTGTCACGGCCACGTGGTGCCGTGAGATTTAATCCACTTTTGGGAGGTGACCCAATTTGGTGGTTGGGCATCGAGTGTGACCATGATGTAAACAAAAAAGGGGTTGTCGGTCTGGTCCTCCTTTGATCCCCCCAATCAAAGTTAAAAAACAAAGGTAAATCAATCACGAAGGCCGTGGCTTTATCTACACCGGCATTGTGGGCTTGATGGGACAAAACAGATGGAAATTATTCAACTTTTACCGATTTAATTTTTAACTTTTTACATATGTTAATTAATAATTTTATATTTTGCTAATTCAGTTTATTCGGTCAATTTGGCCAAAAATCGCTAATATGAACGGCAACCGTTCTACGTGGCACGACTGACACGAACGTGAACAATTTCTAATAATATTTTAATACTTTTTAAAAAAAATTATTGATTTTTTTTTCTTCTCTTTTCTTTTCCTTCTTTACTTTTTTCTCCTTTTTCTCTTCTTTTCTTTTTCTTTTTTCCCTTTGCTAGCCATTGTCGAGCCTCGTCGATGGTTGGTGAGGGATGCCCTTGCCCAATCTGGCGAAAGAGGCCCTCACCTGAGAGCAACGGCAATGGCCGGCGAAGGGAAAAAGGAAAAAGAAAAAAAAAAGAAAAGAAGGGAAAAGAAAAAAAAGAGAGGAAAAAAAGCGTCACAAAGGAAAAGAGAAGAAAATAAAAAAGATCGAAAAAAATTAAAAAATTATTAAAAATTGTTCACTTCAGCGTCGATCACCCCAAACGAATTTTCGGTCAAAGTTGATAGGATGGACTCAATTAACAAAATGTGAAAATATTTAAAACTCAATCGATACAATTAAAATGTTTAGAACTGAATTGGCAAAATTTTTTGGACAATTTTCCCGGGAAACTGTGGTTGGAAAGCCTCAGATAGCCAAGTGGGCCAGAAACCTGAATAAAAGAAAGCGAGAAGAGGTTGCACGAAGATGCCTTAAAAAAACTAAGGTTGGACCGTGGCCTCAATGAATGTTTCCAGAACAAGCCCAATTCACTTTAGGACCTCTAAAAAATGTTGGTCGGCCCAATTTAATCCCCTCCTCTTAAGAAAACATTAGGTCCACCCGTTGACAGCATCCAGTTTCCCAATACCCGTCAGTTAAATCTCAAAACCGAGTCAGAAACAGTGTTGGATTTTTGAATTGACGTCATGTACAACTCGATACTGATTCAACTAATGAAATGCGCCGTCCCTGCATGGCGAAACCAGAAATCTAATGACCGAACCATATGGCTCACAAGTAAACTTGGGTTCTGAATATAGAATAAAATCCAAACCGCAGCGACGAAGCATTGTACAAGACGATCTCTGCTATCATTGCGTACGTGCATTTACAGTACGGGGTGGTTAATAATTCCTGAAAAGACATCAGCTAGAACAAATAAGGAAAGATAAGATCCCTCTCTCTGTACATGGAAAGATGAGATCAGCTTGGTCAATTTTGAAATCTCTCGCTATACCAGCTAAGAATACGAGAATCGCTTAACAGGTCTGGATTTGATCCAGACCACTTTCCAGAGTCGCCCAATCGTCGTCGAGAGATATTTCCTCTCTTTTCCAATATTAGATTATACTCTCTGTTTTTGTGTTTGGGGGTGGTCACCGTGATGATATCGACAAATTAAATCCAGACAGAGACCAATTTTTGGCATTGTCCTGGAAGGAAAGAGATGAGGCAAAGAGGATTGGTGGTGGGTGTTTCCAATTAATTCGCGAGGATGACGAGGAGTCCCATATCCGAATAGTATCCTTCAATTGCATGAAATATCAATCAGCGTTCGAATTAAAACAAGTCGAAACGATACAAAATCCGGATGACGATGAATCAATCGATCACTGTTCGGGATTTGACACGGGCGGCATCAAACGAACGAACATACCCGGTGGAGGGCGCGTGAACGCTCTTCCCTCTGTACTCGCGAGTGGGGCAAATTCGACAAAAGGCGGCCCCCCCCCGCGCCCCACGATGTTACATATTCCTTTGCCTTGCCACCCCTACTCTCCCCTCCACCTTCTCTCTGTCTGTCCGTCTGTGTCTGTCTGAGGTTGTGAACAGGAGGAGGCAGTCGACAGAACAGGTGGGAGTTCATTTGACTGCTGCTGCTGCTGCTGCTGCTGTTGCTTCTTTGTCTGTCTGAGTCTCTTCTGTTTTTGAACGGACCTATCAACTCCAGAAGTAGCAATCCGTCGAAGGTTGTTTCGAGAATTTCGTGGGGTTGCCGGTTAGGAGGGAACGGAGCGAAATCTGTGCGACCCATGTAATCTAAACTGCTGCTACAGGACAAGCAGAGGGGCGTGCGTTTTGCTATGGTGGTGCCAGTCCAAGTCAAGTCGAACAAAGTGTGCTCTTTTTGTCCATTCCACTTTCCAACTAGGCGTCCACCAAACGCCCACCTCCTCCTCATCCAATCCCCCTCCCAAAAACGATTTCTTTTTTCTTCGTATATAAGGATGATGACGCATGCAGTTGCAGAGTGGGTTTGAATAGAAAAAGCTCGCAACCCAGGTGGTCATCCGTCGTCCGTCGTCCGTCGACGGTCGTCGGCTGTCTTCTTCTTCTTGTTTGCAGAGGAAGAGTAGATGCGTTCGCTTTTGCTTTCCGAGTACGATACGGTTTTGCCGTTACAGGAGGAAAAGTTAACCCCTTTACGTAGATGCCCACACCCTTTTCATCTCTTTCGCATCCAATCCTTCCTTGCTTTCTCTCGCGACTTTCTTCTTCTTCTTCTTCTTTCCGTCGAAAAGCTCTCTCTTTTTTCTAAAATACACCCTATTCTGATCTTTGTCGTTGGTAGGCATATTGCATGCTGGTGCTTTCGGAGGACTCCCCGCTGTCGCCATGACCACCCACTTCGTAATCTCTCTCTCTCTCTCTCTCTCTCTCTCTCTCTCTCTCTCTTTTAAGAATAGAAACCTACTGATTGCATGTGGGTGTGATCATATCTTCCTGTCGTTGTGACTTCGTGTTTCTCTGAGTTTTGGGTGTCGACATGTTTTTCATTTCCTTGGATGGTTGTTCGCTGGTCGTTTTCGGTCGCGGAGAGATAAAAAAAAAAAAGGTTATTTCATCCGCCGCCAAAAAAAGAACGACACAGGATATGCTGGTCAGTCATGGTTGTTTGTTCTTTCTGGATGAATTTGCCTATTTTCTTCTCTATTTGGAGTGCAGAGCACTGGTTGCTGCATCAAATTTACCGCCAATTTCGATGTAATTTCAAGTTTCCACCTTCTGAAAGGAGTAGGACCTTGTTACTGTTTTTTCTGTTTTATGTGTGAATTCCAGTCCTCGTGCTCAACTAGATTGAATTTAATTTCATCATTTTTTATATTGATAGAGAATTGCCATTGTCTTGTGTGTTGTTATGTCATTAATTCTCTCTCCAAAAAAACAGAAACACATACTTCAACTGTTGATGGTCATTTGCTGATTGCTTGAGTTAGCGGTAGTTCTCAGTAAATTAAGATATGCGAGGGAGATTTTCAAGTTTTATGACTTTGACCATTATTCCACCTACTCTGCTGCAAATTAAGATATGTGTAGGGAATGAAGCTGCTGTAGCATACTTGAACTTTTTAAGTTATATAGTTTGAACTGTTATTGTGGTTCATTGTTCGATTAGATTGTAGAGTACACAAAAGAAAAAAAGGTAGAGATTGAGTTTGTTACTGTTTGAAGCTATGTTTTCTTGTTATGCTTTTGATCGCTGAGTTTTCAACTTCTCTATAGATTATTCTCTTCAATTCTATTGGATTGAAGAGGGTTGCATCTGATAGTTTTTAGTCTCCTTTCCATTTTTCTTTTTTCCCTGGTTTTCCTCTTTCAGTTGGCATTTACTCATATGGAATTGAATAAGCTGCAATATCCCTTCTTGTCAGGCTCCAATGCTTTCTGATTCGAAGAGTAGATCGTGCCTCTACACCCTGTTCATAATCGCTTCTCTCTTCTGCGGTGCTTACTTCATTGGTAGCTCAGTCATTGCAAAGGAGTACAGAGATGTGAGTATCTTCTTCTTTGCTTTCTATTAGCAGAAATTCTACCATTTCTGTCCAAACTTGGAGCCCTATTTTGTGGACTTCAAAAAAAATTACAGCAGACAGACAATTTTTTATTTTGAATTAGAACTATCACATCCCGGAAATTGTTGGTTTTACAGAGGTGATTCATTCTAGCATCTGGATTGATGGCCTGAAGGTTATAAGATTTGTTGGCTGGTGGTAATGAAGTGTCACTATGAATTGAAAACATTAGAGTTTATATGTTTATATAGCCATTTGAAAAGATAAGGTTGATAAATTTTCTGGATTGAGAATACTCATGTCCATATGATAGCAGGCTCTCTCTCGGACTACCACAAATAATTAGAATGAAACCTGGCCACTGGTTAAAAGGCATAACTTCTTAACTCTGTAATGTCTATGCAGAGATTAATTAGGTTGGAATCAACCGAGACAGTGCGAAACAGAGATTCTACGCGTTGCAAGGTTTGTTTATTTCGTGAAGTAAGTATGCTGTCCACTTCCTTGTGGTGTATGCTGACTAATATACCGTCTTCCATTGTGCCTTTTCTCTTTCTTAGGATCATTGCAGGCCTTCAGGAAGCGAGCATTTACCGAAAGGAATCGTCGTGGAAACATCCAACTTGAAAATGCAACCTTTGTGGGGCCCCATTGAAAATGATGTAGGTGAAGCAACACTTTGTTTCTCTACCATCTAAGTTTCGAATGCAACAGAGGGTTTAAAGTACTATGGAGATGTTATCATACTCATTTCCTCTTACCAGTATTTTTCTGTTTGTCAGAAAAGCTAACTGTACTTAAGAATAAGTGCTACTATATGCTCACATAGTTTTGTACACCAGTGATTGTCATATTAATTTACTTCCATTTTGCTGACAAAGTTCCATATGTCAGAAAAACACAACTCCTGCAATGAATTTACTGGCACTAGCTGTTGGGATTGAGCAAAAAGAAATAGTGAATCGTCTTGTACAGAAGGTTATTGCTCTCATCTTCCTCCTGTTCCCAGCTCGATATAGTACTTTTCTGACTTCATCCATTACATTGCAGTTTCCTTCAAAGATTTTTGTGGTTATGCTTTTCCATTATGATGGTGTCGTGGATGACTGGAAGAATTTCTCGTGGAGTGAACGGGCCATACATGTGTCTGCAGTGAATCAACCAAAATGGTAATTGTGTGTTTCTATTCTGATTCTGGTATTCTGCATAACTGAACGTGTGTTGGTTTGCATCGTCGCACAAGGATCTGCTTGTTATCTGATCCGGATTGTTTTTCCTGATTACGTAGGTGGTTTGCCAAACGATTCTTGCATCCAGACATAGTTGCTGAATACAGTTACATCTTTCTTTGGGATGAGGACCTTGGAGTTGAAAATTTTGACCCCAATCGGTAAGCACAAATATACTTTGTGGGTCAACTATTTCAATACTTTTTAATCTGCTTAAAAACTGTCGTAGTAGTTTATCAAAGGTTGTTTTCAACTTGCACTCCTGATGCTTGTTACACTGCTTTTGTTTAATGTATTATGTAAATGAGCATTTTCTGTTTTATAATTGCTTTGAGCATTCATCATTACAATGCAACTGTGCTTAGATCAGCAAAGCAGCTCGAGTAGTAGGTGGCAGGATTGTAGAAATGTTTCAACCAAATGGGTCCTACGTGCATTGCATGAATAGAAAAATGCCTTGGCAAATTCTCTCATTTTATGTTGTTTGAGAGTTTTCACTTAGCACTGCCTAACATTCATTTGATCTTTTATAGGTACTTGTCCATTGTCCAGGGTGAAGGACTTGAGATCTCACAACCAGCACTTGACCCTGCGAAGTCAGCCATTCATCTTCCAATTACTGCACGCAGAAAAAAATCAATAGTGCACAGGTAAATATGTGAGGTTTTGATGGATACGATAAACTATACCTCTTGCAAACTAAGATTTCACCTTTTTAATTTTGAGACCGTATGTGGAGGTGCTTGTTAGATTAACTGTTGTATAATTGGTCGTCTTTTCCAATTGACTAGCTTCCTAGCATAGAACAGAAAGTTGCAGAGTTCCACATCTGATTTGTTATTGTTGGCTGGTATTGAGGGTTTTTTCCCCTTCTGTGGACGTGCAACGGTCTTTGCTTTGATCAGTCATGGTGGGGAATAAAGGGGGATATGCCATATAGCACCTGTTGTTGTTACTCTCTATTCGTGGGACTCTAATGTGAATCTTTATGTGTCATTGATGGTTTGAGCAGGAGGATGTATAAGTCAAAAGGAAGTGGAAGGTGTGATGACCACAGCACTGCACCCCCATGTGTTGGGTACGGATCAGGATCTCTGAGGCTCTTGTGAAAAACTATATGTTTAATTGCCTGCCTGTGTATGGGATAGTCGATGCTTGTAAGACCAAGCTTGTGAAGTAACAGAAATTTTCTTGCAGATGGGTGGAAATTATGGCACCTGTCTTCTCAAGGATGGCCTGGCGTTGTGTTTGGCACATGATCCAGGTGCAGTTCTTCAATTCACCAACCTCCCAATTGTTATGTAGTGTCCTGGGTACAATGACCAAGGATCCAAAGCAAAGCTTGCCACTTATTGATTTTTTTTTCCCGCTGCTTTGTTGAGGAGGAAATTTCTCTGGTCTGGTGTCATATGGAGCGAACTTGTGCCTTCTCTTGCCTTTTTATATGAAACAAACTAGAGAAGCAAGCGGTTGTAGCTTAGTATTAAACCCACTTAGCGCGCTATTATCTCAAGAAAATCCGATCCAAGTGACTTGCATTAGGGAATGACTCAAAACGAACTTGGTGCTGTGACCTTAGGACGTACTCATTCAGGCTGACCATTTAAATTGCCCAAAATAAAACTCATTGGTACTGTTGCAAGCTTCTACTTCTAGTGGCATCATCTGTATGTTATCCCAACAATTAACCTGGGGCTTCTGCGACCAAAAAAAAAAAAAAACTGGGGCTTCTAGTGTAATTGATTCATTGATTTCTTTCCTCACAGAATGACTTGATCCACGCGTGGGGCTTAGACATGCTTCTTGGATATTGTGCCCAAGTATGTATAAAAATTTTTAGACTACTCTTCTATTTCTAGAATTGGTTAATCTGTTCAGGGGTGACAATGATGTGTCAACTGCAATACAGGGTGATCGGACCCAAAAAGTTGGCGTGGTTGACTCTGAGTACATAGTTCATCTAGGCCTCCCTACACTTGGTGTTGGCAATAAGAAACAGGCAAGTACTGGACTTTGGTTTGACAATCTGCAGCAACAGTTTGCATGAGTTAACTTTTGCTTTTTAACTTCATCGTATTGGTTGAGACTAGCATTTTCTTTGCAGACAGTGGCATATTATGAAGGAGATGTACTTAGGCCTTCACTTTGTTTTTTCAACCTGCGTCGTATAACTTGGGACTGCAGTTTTTAAGCACTTGCTTTGCATGATAATAAAAAATTTGACGAGCCAGAATCATTAAAGTTCTCGGTTCTGTGTCGTCATTAATATTTTTTACACCCGTTCATTCTGCATGAGACCTTCCAAGAACCGGGGCGGTTGTATGTCTGCAAAGCCTATGAATTGTCAAGAATATAGGTTTTTAAGAAAATTTAGTCTCACATGTTGTTTTACATGTGCACTATGCAGGCTTCGGACAAGCCCCAAGTAGATGACAATAGAATGGCAGTAAGTTCCGCCTTGCACATGCAATTATCTTTATCAGTTTTCGCCATTTGCATGAAATGACAGATCCCTCCCCTTCTGTCAGCTGGGGCTACACATGATGTGCTTCAATCGAATGTACTCTTTTTGTTGAACTTCAACCATCTTCTATCGGCTTATCATTAAGTGATCGATGGTTCTTTTCACAGGTGAGAAAACGATCTTTTGAGGAAATGCAGGTGTTCCAAGAAAGATGGAAGAATGCCACTAAGGAGGATCAATGTTGGGTTGATCCATTTGAACAAGGAATGAACAAAAGTCGTTGACTGATTCATAATTCTTTGATACACACCACAGCAGACAATCTTGGATCTTCTTTTATAGTCGCCAGATTACTATTAGCAAGAGCAGCAGCTAATTATAAAAGTACAGCAGAATCCCAGTGACCATGGATGTGTCGGCCAGACACAACTGTGAAGCCATATATAGTCTCAGTTAAATTCAGAATTTTTCCATGTAAATACTCGGTTTGGAAATCAGGGAATATTGGTAGTTCTTTTTCACTTTTGATAGGGTACAGGAGATTCGCATCTCAAGAGATTTCTATTTTTTTTTGGGGGGGGGGCAAACAGGATGATTCTTTTTTGTTTTGGAACTAGACATAGTAGCGGGGGTAATTCTCTCACCGGTTTATTTAAAGGGTTCGTTTTTTTTGTCTTATCTGGAAAGTCCAACTGCCACAGGGACTCAGTGAAGTGTTACTTGTTTGATAATTGGCTGAAATTGTACAAGTTTCTTTACTTCAATTTGGAAAATGAGACCGTCAAAATTTCTGCAAGTGAGTCCCTAGGACCAAAGTGATGTGTCTAGTTTAGATGAGGATGAGGAGGGAACAGGGATTGGATACAAAATCAAATCAATGCTGCGACTTCACTTGTGGGGTTACCACTTATTTCAAGAAACTTCTCGAACTAGTAAGAATGACGAGCCTGTGTTTTAAAGGGGGAACTTGAGTTTGCTGCGATTGGTTCTCTTGAGTTACAGTTGTGACATTTTGATGAAAGAATTTTGAATCGCTTTGAGTGAAAGCGAGCATTGTCAAACCCTAGGCTCTAGATAGATACGTTTTTATATTTCAGCATATTCTCGAAAAGCCTTCTCTATGGATTAATGAATTTCTTTTTTTGCTCCAACTCTACCCTTACTAACATTTTTGAATTCCTATTATGCCCTTATTTTTTTCTGTTCATCATCTGTCTCAACCAAACGCCTCCATTGTTCATTGCTCCCACATTCTAGTTGACGTGAGCCTAGAGTGGATGGTTGCTAGGGACGGCCGCCAAGATCTGGTCTCGGTTGATTTGGCATTGCGGAGATTTGGGTTCGCCGAGGTCGCGCGATCGTCAGCGACGCCTTCTTTGGGCTGCCAAATGTAGCGCGACCTCCACTGAGGTTGCATGATGCTCAATGTCGTCTCGCTTTGGCGGTCATAGTAATCGTGAGCTTTTATCCCGAAAATATCTCGATTGCACGGCTTTCACCTCGTCTGGACTCTTCGACAGCTCGATCCTTGTCAGTTCCGATTACTTCCACCGGATTTGTCAATTTGATCTTCTCTAGTCTCCAGCAGCCGCCCCCTATCTTTTCCGTTTTTTTTTTAATAAAAAATATACTTGGAAGGGGATGCTCCCCTTAGGGTTGTTGTTGGTTACCGTTTAACCCTAGGGTTCATCATTGCTCTGAAGGGTGCCGAGTAAAACCTCTTTCGGGGCTCTTAGCTACTACACACACCTTGTTTTAACCCCCGAGCCTGGCCGGATCCCCCCCCCGGGCTTCCCCCGTCCCCGAGAGAGAGAGAGAGAGAGAGAGGGAGTGAGTGAATAACCCTTATTATTATGTATTGTTCGGATTGTTTTGCAATAGATGTGGTCCTAAAGTAATGGGACTGAGTGGTAACTGGGTCATAATAGAGTAGAGAGGCCCACGAGCAGCCCACGTCTTGTTGTCCAAACCCCATCCCCATCTCCCCCCGACCCCCGTAGATTTTACCATTTCTTTTCATCTCCCCGCGACGACAGCAACATCCCTCTTCTTCGTCTCGTCTCCACCATTCCAGTTTCAGAGCTCTACTAGGGTTTAAGCAAATCTCTCTCCCCAACCCCCCAGCCAGTCGAGAAAGAGAGAGACAGAGAGAGAGAGAGAGAAGGAGGGAGAGCCTGTCATACCATCCCTCGCTGTCCCCAATGTCCCTCTACCGCATCCTCCTCCTCCGCTCTCTCCTCCTCCGCCGCCCCTCCTCCTCCTCCTCCTCCTCCTCCTCCTCCGCCGACCTCCTCCTCCGCCTCCTCCCCTCCCTAGCTCCCGCTGCTCAGCACCGCTCCTTCGCCTTCAGCTCTGCCGAGGAGGCCGCCGCCGAGCGCCGCCGCCGCAAGCGCCGCCTCCGCGTCGATCCCCCCCTCCACGCCCTCCGCCGCGACAACTACCCCCCTCCCCCCCGCGATCCCAACGCCCCCCGCCTCCCCGACTCCACCTCCGCCCTCGTCGGCCCTCGCCTCAACCTCCACAACCGCGTCCAGTCCCTCATCCGTGCCGGTGATCTCGATGCCGCCTCCGCCGTCGCCCGCCACTCCGTCTTCTCCAACACCCGCCCCACCGTCTTCACCTGCAACGCCATCATCGCTTCCATGTACCGCTCCAAGAGGTACACCGACGCCATCGCCCTCTTCCAGTTCTTCTTCAACCAGTCCAACATCGTCCCCAACGTCGTCTCTTACAATAACTTGATCAACACCCACTGCGATATGGGTAACGTCGACACTGCTCTCGATGTCTATCGCCACATCCAGGCCCACGCCCCTTTTAGTCCCTCCTCCGTCACTTATAGGCATCTCACCAAGGGGCTTATCGACGCCGCGAGGATCGGGGATGCTGTCGACCTTTTGCGCGAGATGTTGACTAAGGGTCACGGAGCTGATTCTCTGGTTTATAACAATTTGATTTCCGGTTTCCTCGACCTGGGAAATCTGGACAAGGCGAACGAGTTGTTCGATGAGCTTAAGGAGAGGTGTCTGGTCTATGACGGAGTTGTGACCGCTACGTTCATGGACTGGTTCTTCAATCAGGGCAGAGAGAAGGAGGCTATGGAGTCGTATAAGTCTTTGCTTGATAGGCAATTTAGGATGGTTCCCGCCACTTGCAATACCCTCATAGAGGTTCTGCTGAAGCACGGGAGGAAGACCGAGGCTTGGGCCATGTTCGACCAAATGTTGGACAGCCACACTCCTCCGACCTTCCAGGCGGTGAATTCGGACACCTTCAATATCATGGTTAACGAGTGCTTCAAGAATGGAAAGTTCGATGAGGCCATCGACGCCTTCCGAAAGGTCGGGACGAAAGCAGGATCTAGGCCATTCTCCATGGATGTCGCTGGATACAATAACATCATTACTAGGTACTGCGAACATGGGATGCTTGCGGAGGCAGATAATCTATTCAGAGAGCTGATGTCAAAGTCACTGTGCCCGGATGTCACGAGTCATAAGACGTTGATAGATGCTTACTTGAAAGAGAGCAGGGTCGACGATGCTTTGAGCATGTTCAACAGAATGGTGGATGCCGGATTAAGGGTGGTGGCGAGTTTTGGAAACAGGGTATTTGAGGTGTTCATTGGGAATGGCAAGGCTGTTGATTGTGCTCAGGCGCTGACCAAGATGGGTGAGAAGGATCCAAAACCGGATCCTACCTGTTATGAGGTTGTGCTGAAAGGGCTTTGCAATGAAGGTGCATTTGACGTGGCCCAAGACCTAGTAGGGCAGATGATAAGGTATGGCATTGGCTTTACTCCATCTCTGCGTGAGTTTGTGTCCATGGCCTTTGGAAAAGCAGGTCGCGGTGAGGAGATTGAGAGATTGTTGAGCATGAATAGGTGGGGATATGCTCCGCGATATCCTCAACAGGGACCAAATCCGCAACCACGAGTACAAGGGCCTCCTCAAATGACTGCAACTCGGGGACCCTATTCGATGAATGGCCCACTCCCAACCCAAGGTGCGCCACAAGGTTTTGGGTCGTTTAGGCCATCCCAGACCAATGGACCTCCAGGATATCCGCAGACTGCTGCGGCACCAGGAGCACCACCATTTTTCAGAACACGAGAACCTTCTCCAACACCTGGTCAACCAAGACCCTCGCAAGTGCCCGGGTCTTCAGGACCTTGGCAAGTTTCTGGATCACCATTTCCATCACAAATGGGTGGATTACAGGGGTCTTCGCCAAGTTATGATCCAGCAGCTCCTTCTCAGGTTACGGGGACACCGGGACCTTCATCGGCAGGATCACAGGGTTTCCACCAAGCGGATGAACCATCTGAATTTCCACACAGTGCCAGAGAGGTGTCTGCTTGATTCTCAGGCGAAATTGAAAGGGAAGCTCTCTCCTGCTATTTTAGAGCACTAGCGGGACAAGAAAAGATGTTGAATCCCTGTGCATGCAATAGTGCTTGAGTTCTTCTGGGGATAGTCACGAGGTAGTGTCTCGGAGGCAAACCAAATTGCTTTTGCTCTGTAAGCCTCTATTATCAAATCGGATGAGACCCTTCCCTAACATTATCGACATTATTTTGCTACGGTCAAAGGTCTTTGATGCGAAGTCGGGAACTGAATTCGTTTTGAATATTGTATTTAATTTGATGATAAGGAGTTTTTCCAGCATGATCACAGCCATGGGTACGAGTGTCAGAAAGTTTTTGGTTGCTAGAACTAAATGCAGTCTATTTATACTCAAATCTTGAGTCTGAGGAGTTTTGTTTCTCTCTCTTCCTTTTGGGGGAAAAATTCAGGTCAAATCTCTGGATTGTTTCTGCACGAATACTTGATGTAATCATGTTCAGAGGGTGTTAATTGTTATAGCAGTTCATGTGCTTCGATTCCCTTTTCTCTTCTTTTGCATGCTGCAATCTTAGCAATCGTTGCAATTGTCTCGTGTTTGTTATCTTAGAGCTTGAGATTACAAGAAAAAAAGGTCTTCCTTTTATGGCACTTCCTTTTCTTCTTGTGGCAAAGAGTCTTCCTTTTTCCATAGTCTGTTTTGTGTGGCTAAGAGTTCTAACATTTGTGCGGTAGCCAAAATTGATTTGGCACTTCTTTTTCGGATTGTGGAAAAGGAGATCGTTGGACTCGGTAAGAGTTCTTCCAATTTTCGTGAAGTTTGCCCACGTTATAACCCTGTTTATATTGAATCTCTGGATATTATCTGGTTTGTAAAGTAATTTGCTCCACTGAATAAAATTTTGTACACCTTGTTGTGTTAAAATGAATTAAAAGGAAAAACTTCGCACTGGAAACGGTACTTTGAATTTTGAAATTATGGTAAAGATAATTATTTGGTGTCCGGTGATGGATGGTGTATGCCTCTTTGATCGTGAACTATCCTCGCCCAATTATGTTTAGTTTCTGATTATAGTGTGCCCACCAGAATGTCTCGCATAGATAATTGTCAGACCTATGAATCTCATGAACTTGTTCTGCCCCCAAACTTAATACTTGTTTCCCTGTTTCTTCGGATTGTGGATATGCGGTCCATATGTAGACAGTTCTTGCAGAGCTGCGGAGTTATCTTGTACCTCGAGTTGTTTTGGAAGGAAAAAGCAATTGATGGGCAGAGTGAAGCAGATTCTGAAGATGTTTATTGAATTTGCAGGTGGAGTTGGGTTTTGTATAGTAGTAGTTTTATAAGATCTCCTACTTGCTGGTTCAAATTACCTCCTTCAGAGGATATTGTGAATCGGTCAGTCCCCCGGGACATGAGTAACGGTGTGTGGAGGATCCTGACAGGGGTGGAACCTTTATTTGCTTCACACTAGAAGAGTCGGTCATTGAGCCATTAGCATTGCATGGCTGCTGGCAATGGTGATAGAACGCACATATACACGCACCCTTCACGTAGCTAAGAGTTTCGCGGATTGGGGTTGATAGGATGATGGGAGCTGTAGTATGATTCACTAGGATGTGACCAATCGGAAGATAAAAAAAAAAAAAAAGATCTCCTGATGGGACGGATTCGTCCACGTGGTTTGGCTGACGCCGATCGCATTGGCAATCACTTTGTAAGAAGTCTGAACTGAACCATGACATGCATATGTTACGTACGTATAGAGAGACGGGCGATGTGTCCGCCGAGAATGATTGGAAGTGCAGGGAAACAGGAGGGCATTGGACACATCTGACCATGTTCAGGGTCTCAGGCTCAGGTTCCGTCCCAGGTTCAACCCGCCCACCAAGGAGGAGGCGGATATTGGGCCGAATCTCGAGCAAGTCATTAAAATAAAGATCATCATAATACCATTTGCGACAGAGAGAGACAGAGAGAAGCAAAAACAAATGCTGCGGCGTCGTCGTCGTCATGCCAATGAATGCGGGAAGGGGGGGTGGCGTGGCGTGAGAGTTCCAGACACTGCACGCCACTTAATGGGAAAAGCTCTGAGATCTCGTGGTGGCCCTGTCTCTGTCTGTCGCGTTCAACCAGATGGACCGTGTTTGTGTTTGCTTTGGCTTTGGCTTTGCTTTGCTTGAAGCGGGGCATGAATCCCGTGATTCTTTCTTCCTTCCTTCTTATTAACGAAAGAAGGCAAAAAAGCTAAAATGAATCATCTGATTTTTCTTTCCATGAATACCCACCAAAAAACAAAAGATGAGAGAGAGGAAAAAGGAAAGCTCCAGTCTGTCAAATACGAGAGTTTAGGATTTTAGACCATTCATTCTCCTTAATTTCTTGATTTTTTTTTGGGGGGAACGTGAAATGTAATGATCAAATGGACAGCTGACACATGCTTCCCCTCCCCCCTGATTTTCCAAAAAAGCTGCTTCTCATTCCTTCTTCCCCCCCCCCCTGACAATAGCAAAAGGCAAAAAAAAAGCTTCGATCTTTATCATTCTTGATCTTTCGAGAGAGAGAGAGAGAGAGAGAGGGAGGTAGCGCAGCGATGGAGAGGAGGGAGGAGGAGGACGGGAATGGGATTGGGAATGGGCATGAACACGACATTGAGATAGAGGGGAAGGAGTCGAGCCCCAAGGGAATGCGACAGCCCCTGCTCCTGCACAGGCACAGCAGCAGTAGCCGCATCAACCGGACCTCCCAGATTGCCATTGTGGGTGCCAACCCCTGCTCCATTGAGAGCCTTGATTACGAGTGAGTATTGCTTCGTCCCTCTCCTCCTCCTCCTCCTCCTCTCTCGTATATGGGATTTTAGTTGTCGTGGGTCGTGTCATTTGGGTGTTGCGTCAGATGGCAGGTATCGTCATGACCCTTTTCCTTTCTAATGGTCAGTTCCGAACGCGACCTTTGGTTCTCACTGTCTTCGTTTGACAATGGTTTATGGAAAAAGAAAATCTGGCTCTTGGGCATTACGATACATATCATATCATATCATATCATATCACCTGATGGTTTCCCGACTGTTTGCAAAAAGAAACGACACGTCGCTCGTGCTCTTCCTACCGGCAACAGTGACGGTCAGGCTCATGAGAAGCTGGTTTTTCCATACAATTCAGCCGTGCCACTATAACTGATCTCCTTCCGGCCATTGCATCCGTAGGACTAATCGCATTCGCTACTGATTGTCCGTGTTTTCACACATTTTGCCCGGTCTCACTCTTTGATTCTTCTTATAGGATTGTTGAGAACGATCTTTTCAAGCAGGATTGGCGGTCTAGGAAGAAGTCTGAGATATATCAATACGTAGTTCTCAAATGGACTCTGGCCCTTCTCATTGGCCTAGGCACCGGACTGGTTGGGTTTTTCAATAACATTGCTGTTGAGAATATTGCTGGTTTTAAACTCCTGCTCGCCAACAATCTGATGCTTAGAGAAAGGTAAATGTTACTTCACTCTCGCATTTGGTTGAAGTTGTGCCCGTCGCCAAACCTACTAGAATTCAGCATTCTATATTCTTTCATTGTCGTTTGAATCAATACCTCAAAATCTTATGAACACAAAAGAAATCCCAAGAAACAATGAGAATTAATGTCTGGAACAATTTTGATTGCTTTGTGGGCCAATCCTTTCTCTCTCCAAAGACGTTGTCACTTCCAATTTGCTGGTGTTTCTTCCCAATAACTATTCTTGCTTTGTATGTTAGAATGATCCGATTTCCGGCGCAGGTATTATCAGGCATTTGCTGCATATGCTAGCTGCAACATGATTTTGGCTGTTGCTGCTGGAGCGCTCTGTGCTTACATTGCCCCTGCAGCAGCTGGTTCTGGCATACCAGAGGTGAAAGCATACCTCAATGGCATAGATGCTCATACTATTCTGGCTCCTGGTACCCTTTTTGTAAAGGTTAGCAGCAAGTAGCTTCTCTCCTTCTCTCCTCTCTTCTCTCTTCCCCCCAACAAAAGATGCCAGAATGTGTCTCAATACAGAATAGAATAATGATGCCTACTGGGCCATTCTGATGTTCTTGCATGTAATGCTTCCATCCCGGAGATATTGGTGCCGCTCTTAGTTCTTATATTAGCTTAAAATTCCTCTCATCACTTGCATCCCTCTTAAATTAATAAAGATGTTCTTAGGTGATAATGATGCCTGAACCAGCCTCTCCTTTTCCATTGTCTGATTCCTTGTTCAGATCATTGGGGCTGTGATAAGTTAACTATATAGTGTCTCCCATGTATTTTAGGAGTTCTGTTGGCATCTTAGAGTATCGAGATCTTTTTGTTTGCTAAATTTCATGCCTATTTCCATGCCTCATTGTTCGAAGATGGCCAAACTTTCTAGAGATGTGCATCTGTGGTGTGCAACTCAATGAGATGCCATAAACTGACCGTTTTATGTTCTCAGTTTACCTGATTTCTAAAATTAAATCGTCCTTTTCAGCAGAATGTCTCATTATCCAGAGAGACCGTCCCTTTCAGCAGAATCTCTCATTAGTTTTTTAGTTTGTCTTCTTTACTATAAGTAACTTGGGGGTACATTTAGAGGACAACTTGATAAGTTTGGTTTAACTCAGAGAAATTCTACTGATTTTGGGATGATACAATAGTCATTCAGGGATCAATGTTGCATTCTATTAGATCACGAATATGGACCTCCTATGCATATTCTTTTCTCCAACTGCTGAGCTCTTAGCTAAGTACTTCTGTCATACAAAATTTGTACTTCAGGCATGCCTTTTTCTCCTTTTTTCTTTGACCTTTTGCTCCACAGAGAAATTTATGCGAAATATCCCAAAATAATCACGAGTACGCTCTTAGAAGCACCATTATTTTGAATATTCTAAACAAAGTTCTGCTCAATTCTTCACTTTTCTGTTTTCATCACAGATTGTTGGTTCCATCCTTGGAGTTGCAGCTGGATTTGTTGTAGGAAAGGAAGGACCCATGGTGCATACTGGTGCTTGCATTGCCTCTTTGCTTGGACAGGGAGGATCTCGCAAGTATCGTTTGACTTGGAGGTGGCTCAGATACTTCAAGAATGATCGGGATAGGCGGGATTTAATAACATGTGGTGCAGCAGCTGGAGTAGCAGCAGCATTTCGAGCTCCTGTGGGCGGGGTCCTCTTTGCACTTGAAGAAGCAGCTTCATGGTATTTGCTTCCACTCTAAGCAATTCTAACTTACATTTTGCCCTTGGGTTGTGCTGTAGTGAAGTCACTTTGCTCCCCTGTAGTTTGGAGTGGTGTGTTCTCACCTTCTTTTCGTGGTAACATCCCAAATTGCATGTTCCGTCTGAATTGCAACCCGGCACAATCACGCATGAGATTTTGAAAATTGTTGCTCACTCGACTTGCTTTTTTTTTTGTTTCTTTTCCTTTTTTGCATTTTGGGGTGGAGGTAGGGGTGCATACAGTCATTTTGTTTCTTTGGTTGGACTTGAATGAATTGGGTGGACAAGGGCATCGACTTTCGGGTCTCGAATTGAAAATGCATGGGTAACCAGTTCAAGGGTAGTGGTTTGATCCTTTTCATTGAGGCAAGCCATAAGCTGTTGTGCAGTGCATTGAGTTTTGCCCAATTGCATTATTTAGAGAATCATTTTTTACCACAGGAGTTATTATATAACTGACCCATGACTCTTGATTTTCACTTAACTTTGGGGTGATGTATCTGATTCTGCTTCCTCTATTTCGGGGTAATCTCTTTCCATCCATTAGTTTAAGGTGGAGGATGTAATGTGGTTTTTTCGAAACTCGATGATGCAAAGTGAAATTCCCACCAAAATAAAGAATTCTAAATGTCCCAGCTCCTGATTTTATGCCGGCATCATTTCTCTCAGCTCTTACAAGTCATCTCATTTAGTTTCTGTATATAAAGGAAAACTCTTATGATGGACTTTTTTTTTTTTCTGGAGAGAGACCAGAATAGGACTTCCAAGTGGTAGCTCGATGTCATTGCTCTGTTCCAGTTATCTGCATCTACGCTGGTTCGAGGCGTATGAAAATGCGGATACCCTTGGTGGAGCAAGATTGACGAATAAAACGTCACCACTCCTGTTCTTTTTCTTTTCATAAGTAAACTCGGTGATGGGGTGTCGAGTAAAACTTGATCACCCTTGTTCTCTTGTTGAGACGCGGAAAATAATATACCTCTTCAATTCCCTTACTATATCCCCCAGAGTTGATTCTGATCTTTGAAAATTTTCAGGTGGCGGAGTGCTCTTCTCTGGAGGACATTTTTCACAACAGCTGTTGTAGCTGTCGTGCTTAGGAGCTTCATAGAGTTTTGCAGGAGTGGGAGATGTGGGTTGTTTGGACAAGGGGGTCTTATCATGTTTGATGTTAATTCAGCACCTGCCACTTACGGCACCCCAGATCTATTGGCAGTTATTTTCCTTGGAGTTATTGGAGGTATTTTTGGGAGCCTTTACAACTATATGGTGGACAAGGTCCTTCGAACATATAGCATCATCAATGAGTAAGCACCATTATCTCAAGTCTTGATAAAAGTAGCAGTGGAATATCAAGTATTACTGGCATTGTAATTGGTCAAAACACGTGTGCCATTACACCCTTTCTAGTGCATGCTGTTCCTTTAAGAGTGAGACTTCTTAGTTCTACTTCTTTCTTCTGTCATCTTTTTTCCCATTTTCCTCCTTCAAGTCCTAGATATTGTCAACACTCAATGGCTTGTGATCTCTAATATTGATCACCTCTGAGATGCTGCTGATCGTGCTCTATTTCATTTAATCGATGTGATTTAAATGGAAACTGATGTTTGAATTGGTGTGCAGGAGAGGTCCTTCATTCAAAATACTACTTGTTATCTCCATCTCTTTTTTAACCTCATGTTGCTCGTACGGCCTTCCATGGATTCTCCAATGTACACCCTGTCCTGCTCATGCAGTGGAGGAATGTCCTACTATAGGTCGGTCGGGGAACTATAAGAACTTCCAGTGTCCCCCAAACCACTACAATGACCTTGCTTCCCTCTTCCTAACGACGAACGATGATGCAATTCGGAGCTTATTTAGTTCCAGCACCGAGAAGGAGTTTCAAATCTCTACCCTTTTAGTTTTCTTTGCGGCCATATATTTCCTTGGAATTGTCACATATGGAATTGCCATTCCCTCCGGGCTCTTCATCCCGGTTATACTTGCTGGGGCCTCATATGGCCGCCTTGTGGGGACATTTCTCGGCCCTCTCTCTGGCCTTGACGCAGGACTCTTTGCCCTTCTCGGAGCTGCCTCCTTCTTGGGTGGCACAATGAGAATGACGGTTTCTCTCTGTGTCATCCTTCTAGAACTCACCAATAGTTTGTTGATGCTACCATTGGTTATGCTAGTTCTCCTTATCTCAAAAACGGTGGCAGATAGTTTCAACAAAGGAGTGTATGACCAAATTGTGAAAATGAAGGGATTGCCATACATGGAAGCACATGCAGAACCATACATGAGGAATCTGGTGGCAAGCGATGCTGTTTCTGGTCCCTTGGTTACGTTCTCTGGGGTTGAAAAGGTGGGGAACATATTTTATGCTTTGAAGATCACCAAGCATAATGGGTTTCCCGTGATTGATGAGCCACCTTTCTCAGAAGCTCCGGAATTGTGTGGACTTGTTTTGAGGTCCCATCTGCTGGTGTTGCTCAAAGGGAGAAAGTTCACGAAGCAGAGGATAGTGACGGGATCAGAAATTGTGAGGATGTTTAAAGCTCATGAGTTTGCAAAGCCAGGATCAGGGAAGGGGCTCAAGCTGGAGGATTTGGACATCAAGGATGAAGAGATGGAGATGTTTGTGGATCTGCATCCTATTACTAATATGTCGCCTTATACAGTGCTTGAGACCACATCATTAGCTAAAGCTGCTGTTCTCTTCAGGGAGCTTGGACTTAGGCACCTGTGCGTTGTGCCAAAGACACCGGGGGTCTCTCTCTCTCTCTCTCTCTCTCTCTCTCTCATGCACAAACGGCTGCATGCGCACGCACGATGTGCACACACCCAATCCTAAGCATGGCCTGATTGCAATTTTCTTATAATGGTTTTGATTCTAATTTGTTTACGATCTAACTTTTGCAGAGGCCTCCGATTGTTGGCATTCTGACAAGGCACGACTTCATGCCAGAGCATGTTCTTGGGTTGCACCCACATCTTCATTCGCACAAGTAAAGCAATGCAAATTAAGCAAAAGGTGCACTATTATAGTGACATAGAAACAAACTGTACCATCTATGCACAGTGGGAATGAGGGAAAAGTGGGATGTGTAGAAGGATGGCCATGTTTCTGGGTCCAACTGGTATAGGATCTGTAGAAAGAGCAGCTCAGCAACTGATGGGTGACCCGGGAGCAACCACCGGTGCCTCGAATGTGTAAATGTGAGTTTGTTCCTTAATCTTTTCCATGAAACCATACCGCTCTTATGTCTATATGATCATCCAAGCTTGCGATACGTGCGGGCTGAGTTGCTGCTTAGCGAAGAAGTTTAAATCATCAGGATCGGAATAGCTGCTCGCGCTTTCTGCAGTCGTAGATTTGGGTGGCGTTCTTGATGGTGCTTATTAATAATAATAGTAGTGATGACAGCGATTATAATAGTAAATAAAAGAGTGGCAAAAGAAAGTGATAATAAGATGTGACCCAGATGGATTCCAGACTTCCATATGTATAACTTAAATTATTACATCAGTGACTATTTTATTGGTGTCGCCTGCGTTTCCGTGTTCGCAGATCTGTCACCATTCTCCCTCGTGCTGTCAGATGTACTCCTAAGTGTTGTCCTGGGTGTCCCTGCTACTCCCAAAATAATGAAATCTTTCATAATGATAACCGTTTGATCCATCCAACAAAGAAATCAGAGTTTGAAATCAGATGGTCTAGAATGGCCACTTCATTTCCGTTCTTAAGCCAATCAGAGTATAATATCATTTCGACAGGTGGGTTTTGATGCATCTGATCGGTGTTGTTTTGAAGATGGAGAAGAGAATTTCCGTAAAAGCAATATAGGAAGGAGTCAGCCGATACGAGGGTCATGAGCTAGGAGGGGAGAACGTAATTCTAGTCTTTGAAGAAACGAATTGTTTTCGCGTTCACCAAAAAAGGAGAGCAGATGCGGAAGACATCATTTGGAATTTCAAAAAAAAAGGGGATGATGGCTTCCACCCATGTTTCCCACCCTTTGTTGGTTTTTCAATCGGGCCTCTTCACCCTTCTTTATACAAATTGAGGAATTGAGATCATTCACCATATGTTTTATTATCCACGGAAACAGTTAATGTATACACTGACGAGACTGATGAGCTGTTGTAACATATCACATTAACATCGAGGACAAATAGCTATTCAAAAGCAGCAATATTTAAGGGAAAAGAAGGCGAATAGAAACAAGAGAGAGATGAAAGCATCTTCATGCGTTTCCTTAACGAGAACTTAACAGTACGATCCGTTACGTCGGGTCAAATGGAGGATGGCATTAAAGGGATTTTAGAGAGTCGAGAGTCTAACTGAATAATAAGGGAATTTTTTGAAATTGAATAAGTACACTGTTCCAAATAATGTCAAATAGTAGAGGTGGGGGCACTTCCATCATTACCGTTTCATTTATAGCCGCTGCTACGTATTTGCAAATTGCGAAGGAGGCGAGAAGGGGAGAGAGAGAGAGACAAAGAGAGAGAGAGAATTTCTTCTTTTTTATATTTTTTATTATTTTTGGCAACTATAATGAGTCGGTTTGTTTGAATGGGTCTCTCTCTGTCTCTCTCTGGAAGGGAAGGGAAGGGAAGCGAAGCGAAAGGCATTCATAATAATAAATGCAAAATACGAATGTTTTCAAATTTTTTTTGGGGGTGGTGGGGTGCGGTGCGGTGGGATCTTCCTTGCTCCTTCTCCTGCTGCTCCTCCTCGCCGTCGTCGGTTCAAACTCAATTCAATCGTCAAAAAAAAGGAGCACAGACGGAGACAAATCAACACGGTTTTTCTTTCGAATTTCGAATCAAGAAAACCCTAATCTTTTCTTCTTCTTCATCATCATCTTCTTCCTTCTCTGATTTCCCTCTAATACATACAGTCCATCTCTTTCCCTCTCCCCCTTTGCTATATTTTTGGGCTCTCTCTCTCTCTCTGTGTTCTCCGTCCTCCGACAGATTTTAGGTAGATCCCCCTCTCCCCTCTCCCTCTCTCCCACCCGCACTGTTTCCTTCCTTTCATTTGGATCGATCGTTTCGTGATTCCCGCTCGAAGATGGAGGCGATTGAGGAGCTACTTCAGCTCTCCGATTCCATGCTTCAGGCCTCCGCTCTCCTCGCCGACGAGGACGTCGACGATACCTCATCGTCTTCCAACCGGCGCGCTACCTCTTTCCTCAATGTCGTCGCCCTCGGCAATGTTGTGAGTACCCACCATCTTCTCCCGCCTTCCTCCTATTCTTCTCTCTCTCTCTCTGTGTTTGGATCTACAGCAAGATTCCTTCGGAAAACGAGGCTCGTTCCTTTCTTTTTGGGTTGGGTAGCTCCTGGATTGTGGGAATCCCCGAAATGGGTAGATTGAGGGATGCCAGCTTCGGACGCCAGTCAGTCTTATAATAATAAGTCAGATGAAATAAGCTGATGTGGCGCTTCATTTGCCTTCTCACTTACTTCATCCTGATTTGACTTTCACGATAACTTAACAAGTCGTGGCCCTGACCGATTCTCGGCATAGTGGATTTTGCATGAATTTAGCACGTTCTTTGTGTCGGTCTCGTTAATTGTGCTACGTTGGAGAATTGCTACTTAAAGAGTACATGTGTGAACTGGCACTAAGGTTGGATCTTCAACAATGTATCGACGAGACTTTTTATCTGTTGTACCTCCATATTTGGGTCGTGTTGCTTAGCCGGGTGTTATTTCCACAGAGATCGAAGATGGGATTGGCGAGCTTCCTCTTAAGACACTAGTACTCCTTTTTTTTTTTTTGCCTCTGGTGTTGTTAGGTTGTGCCTTCTGAGTTTCGTAGAATATGGTCGCAACCGCATGAGCTGATGATTTTATTTGCCTCTGGAAGTCAATTTACAAAGTGATTTATGTATCCCTAAAGAACATTGTGAGTGTTATGCCATAGTGGATGGAATTTATACATAGGTTTATCGCAATTTGTACGGTTTTGGTCCTCTCGCTCTAGTGGGATGGATATTGGCGGGCGAGAATACGATTTCCTCTGTAAACTAGCGCCACAAATTATGCTCTGACAGTGTGAACCAGTGTAAATGTGGGCTAGAAAACCATGATAAATATAAATTTGTGGTTGCAGTTATGTCATTTAACATACAAAGTGCTCCTAGTCAGGCATATTGATGCTGTTCTGTTGGCTTTTTGTGTTTGTTTTTGGTTATGCGAGTATCTGTTTGCTTTGCATGTTTGTCGGTGGGCTTGTCGCCGTAAATAGTTAGATTTCCTGACAACTTGTACCAATTTTGCACACTTTTCAGGGTGCTGGAAAATCTGCTGTATTAAATAGTTTAATTGGACATCCAATTTTGGTAAGTTTCTTCCTTCCATTGTTATGCTCTTGCTTTATGTGTTTTCAATGTCTCTGCGCTGTTTCGTCTGACTTCATTTTTTGTTGGATAGCCTACTGGTGAAAATGGTGCTACTCGTGCTCCCATAAGTGTTGATTTATCCAGGGATAGTTCCGCAAGCAGCAAGTCCATTGTCTTGCAGATTGACAACAAATCGCAACAGGTTTCCGCAAGTAAATCAATCCCCTTACAAGCTTCCACTACATCTTTCGGATAGTTGGCTCTCTTTAGAGAGCTTTTGTTATGATCGTCCTTCCAATTAATTAATAAATATAACACATTAGTCATAACATGATTTTGCTTTTTCGTGGTTTTCTCAATTTGCAATACCTAGGTGCTCTTCGGCATTCGCTACAAGATAGGCTGAGCAAGGGTTCTTCAGGAACGGGTCGTGATGAGATATATTTGAAACTCCGCACTAGCACAGGTACAATTTTTAATTTTATTTGTTGTTTGAGGGTGATCTTTTTAAGTTTTTCCCCCTTGTTGAAGAAATTGAGTGCTAGAAATTTACTCTCGCAATAACTCTCATGTCCTTCTTGGGTAATACTGTCCTGTTTTTCTGCTTGTAATCTTTCAAATTCAGGTTTTAGTTTCTCGAGTGTGTTTGACTTTTAGGTGGGTTAAGAAAGAGCCATTAGCATAAAAACCAAGGGTGATGTGTGTAACTTGTACTTGTTCTACTTGAGCCTAGTGTTGCAAAGGGCTGGCTGAAGCACTTAGTGAATTGCTGTAGGCTTTACCAATTTTATGCAAGCTATGCTGGAGAGAAAAAATGATTCTGTTGCTTATTCTTGCCTAAATTTGGTTGATTCAATGCATTGAAAGAGAGTTATTCCCTGAAGTTAAGGAATCGTCTGGATTGGCTTTTACTTTTTTTTTTTGCTTAATCTAAATCTTGCAGCTAATACCACTTTGAATTTTTTTTAAATCCGAAACTCATTAAACTTTCACAAACGGTACTTTTTTAGTGTAAGCATACAGTCTTCTAAAACAGTTGGTTTTATCTGCATTTCGTTATATTTGTGGAAAATTAAGGTCAATGATGAGGGTGTAAGAACACTGATTCATAGGTTTACATTGCAAGGCAGGCGGATGATTCTTGGCTACTTCCGGGCCTTAACTGCATGAATTACTGAATCATGAGATACTGTTGAGTGAATAAGACTAGCTCAGCTGGCTGTAATTAATAAGTGGTCGATTGGAGCTGGGATGTAGCTGAGTTGGTATAGATCTGCCCTTGCAATTGTGTCCGTTGCGATTATGGGTTGGATGTCTAATTGTCCAGGCACTAACTATAGTATCTTGTACCTTTTCTTTTTTAATGCATTGCCATCGTAAATTCATGTTCATTTTCCCCGTGATCATAATTTCTTGTAAAATGACTCCAGCTCCACCGTTAAAGTTGGTCGACTTACCCGGTCTGGATCAAAGGTTTATGGATGATTCATTGGTGAGTGATTTGAACTTACATAGTTTACATTAATTTTCGAGGCATGTCGTTCTTCAATGACATATGAGCCAGTGATGAATTAATAAGTTTTCTTTAGAAAATGCTCATACTCTCTATATCTGATGTCATTATTTCCTCTTATCCAGATCAGTGAATATGTTGAGCATAATGATGCAATTCTGTTGGTGATAGTACCTGCTTCTCAAGCATCAGAAATTTCGTCATCTCGGGCCCTTAAACTTGCAAAAGAATATGATGCTGAAAGTAAAGTAGCTCTCGAGCTTCATTTTGTTCGTGACACACATTTTATGTTTTATCCCGTGATAATGATTTTCAGGCCTTGTAGCATTAAAAACATTTTGCTGTCATGGTTGTAGGAACTAGAACCGTCGGTGTCATTAGCAAAATTGATCTAGCAGCTTCAGACTCAAAAGCACTAGCAGCTGTTCAAGCTCTCTTGTCAAATCAGGGGCCGCCTAAAACATCTGATATACCATGGATTGCTCTAATTGGACAGTCTGTTTCTATAGCTTCAGCACAGACTGGTGCAGGGTCTGAGAGCTCTTTAGAAACTGCCTGGCGTGCTGAGAGCGAAAGTCTGAAATCTATATTAACTGGAGCCCCTCAAAGCAAGCTTGGTAGAGTAGCTTTAGTTGATGCTCTTGCAGGCCAGATTCGCAATCGTATGAAGCTCAGAGTTCCAAATCTGCTCTCTGGGTACTTGCTTTGTGTCCTTCACTCTTTCTTG